AAGACACAGATTGGGATCGACATCCCTCGCTCTGTGAGCGTGATGATCTTAAGGTACCTTGAACTGAAGGAGACTCGGCACCGCTACCCTTAGAGGCAACGTCACTGTCATCGCCCCCATAGATGTAGCGGCGCATTGCTTCATCATGATGGAGCAAGCTTTATAGGGATGAGTGCTTTATAAAATTAAGTGTTCTTAAACACTGTAATGCTTAAAGCAAGTGTTGTGAACACTGTAATGCTTACAAGCAAGTGCTAGGAGCTTAGTGCTGTGAAAGCAAGTGTTCGTGAACACACAAAGGGTATTAGTAATACCAAGTGCTTGGCACTTAACGCTCATAAGCAAGTGTCGTAACACTTAATGCTTTGGCGTGAGTGCGATGCACTATATGCTCAAAGAGCGAGTGTCGTAACACAAGGATGCTTAAAAAGCGTGTGTGCAATGTACGGGTGCTCAAAGAGCAAGTGTTAAAAACACAGACGGTTTGAACGCAAGTGCAAGCGCTTATTGCGAGGCAAGCAAATGAGAAGAAAATGAAATCGATGCCGCCAATTAATTGCAAAAGTTCGTGGGTACGTCGGGTACCGCTCGGAGTGCAGACCGCTGTAAGCGGGATATCACTAGCTCGCATGAGCAGTTGGTAATATCCATCGACTAAGTCGAGGGCACTGTACATCATACTTCCCACCATATTGTTCTGAAGATCATCCTTGCGAGGAATCGGTGTTTAATCCAGGATAGGGGCTGCATTCAGCTTATTGTAAGCATGCACTATCCGCCACTTTCCATAAGGCTTCCTCACACAAAACGTGGCCGTAGAGTGAGGAGACTCACTCTCACGCACCATGCCAGCCGCGTACTTTGCACGAAAGAACTCGTCAATGACGTCACATTGTTCTCGTGGCAGCGGCCATTGTTGCGTCACACAGTATTTGGCTTCTGGAACCAAGTCAATCTCATGACGTACACCTCTATCCGGAGGTAACCTCGTCGGAGGTTCTCTGGATACAACATCTCCATATTTCTTCAGTAAAGGAAAAAAGGTCTGAAAGGTCCTTCAGGATCTGTGATCCACTACGCGCTCTCAACGCCTAATTGGTATCTTCAAGAACTGCTTTATCCAAAATTGATAAAGAGTTTAACTCCTCCTTAGGTCATATAACGACCACTTCGGCGATGTCGCCTGCCTGTAAGGCAATGACAAAATCTGCAAAGACCAACTCGTCCAGCTCTAACAGAGCACTTAATGCGGGTATTGCTAAAAGAGCCACCGGCTCTTCAACATCCCCAGTCAAACTATTGACGAGTGTATATAGCTGTTTGCTATCACCGTCACTCACAATATCATCATCGCTACTCATGATGCTTTCAGCATCCAACGCATCAGCGTCCACAGGTGTACACACCTCAAGGTCAAAGACCACTTCGTTTACTGACTGCACCCCACCCTCTTGGGTCAATACCTCGTCATGATGTGCTCGCACCTCGTTGTCCTTAAAAACAACCGTCATTTTTGACTTCACCCGACCCTCTTGGGCCAGTACCTCGTCACTAGGTGCTTGCACCTCGTTATCCTCAAATACAACATCCATTTGTGACTTCACTCGGCCCTCCAGGGTCAGTTCCTCGTCACTCATGTCACTTGGACTCATGTCCTGACATCTTGGCTTGCAGCCACCAACACCACTCACGGTGTTTAATGATGTAACATCATTCTCATGACACATGTCAGATGTGCCATCTAGTGGGTTCTCAACCACACTATCGACAGTCATTGGGCCTCATCCAAGACTATTGTCCTCGACACTTACAGCGTCTACAAAGTCGGATATTCCGACATCCAGCATATTGATCGAATTGGTCCAATATCCGCGCCAAAAGCGCTTTTGCTTCCTAGCAGAGGTGAGTTCATGACTCTCCAGTGGTCCACCAGGAGCATTGCGCGTTGCGCCTAAGGTCTTCGACCTCCAATCAATCCATGGCTTATGACGTTCTCAGCCATGCCATGCCTAGTATGAGGTCATACCTCGCATCCAGGTCCAAGACCAGACAGCGTTCCATGCTGTTAAAGTCTAAGAACATTACATTTAAATCCATCGGGACTTTGGGTATCGTAACAAGCGCACCCGTCGCTAAGCGAACTATGACTGTGTCGCTTTCACGCGCTACAAGCGCTTCAGCATACTACGGCGCACATAATTGCCCGATGCCCCCGAATCGATCAAAATGATCCATGGCTTATCATAGCCCGTAATTGTCCCTTCGACGACTAGCAAGCCTGGCTTACATTCTCGTTCTGTTTTTGAGAGTTCGAATCTCTTTGGGGCTGGGATCTGTTTACTTCTACCTCCTAGAGGTTCAACAGAACTCAGTGTTTCCCCAGTAGGGCACCCCTCGCCTACTGGGTCCCGCCGTTTCCCCGCGGCAAACCAGAAGGTTGATTCATGAGGCGTCAGCCCATCGAGGCCAAATATGCCTTTCTTGCAGGGCATTTTGCCATCAAATGGTTTGTGCTCTTGCAGATGTTATATGCGCTGTCCTTGAAGCTCCGCTTCTTCATCCTCCACTTGACTACAGTCCATGGGTACAGACATACCCATCAGACGAGTAGTTATAAGTGGCAGGCGTAGCGGTCTTAAAGTTGGTCTCGGCATTCCATAACAGCTTCCTCGAACAAGGACGGCTCACCCGGAAGACTTTCGTTCTGGCAACGCCAACTCGGAGGCCCTCCATGACGACCGTGACGGTCACTGCCTCAGTCATAGGGTCTATGACTATGGCGGCAATAAGAGTTCTCAGCTCTTGCACTTGTGCCGCAAGCTCACGCTTACCTTGGCGACATCCCAAAAAGCGCGACCGATTACGGTGTGCTTGGTTTGGCGCTGCATAACGCCGGATCATCTGAACTTTATGATCGGCCCATATTGGGAAGCATCTTGCAATGATGCACCGCATGTGAGCGCTTTTTGTTTGTATAAGCCACCCAAGTTACCCGTGGCAAATCCAACACGGTACGGTTCATAGGTGATGTCGGCTATGAACATAGCCGATCCAACCTGTCGGAACCACAGCATAAGGTTGTCACCTTCTTTGCCGTCGAGCTTGTCCACTTCAAAATGTTGAGTTTCGTCTGCGGACCACTATTGCGCCATAATCGCCATTTGAGAAGGCGTTGAGGAAGATGTCTGTGCCTTTAAATGCTTGACTAGAGCTTTATTATATTCATCAAGCTTATGAATACGCTTGCTAACCTCTTCTTCACCTTGGGCAATGAGGTATTCCACGCCCTTACGGCCAAGGATAGGTAGCAGCTTCTGCAACCCTTCCTGTTGTGCTTGTGACAGGCCAACCGCTGACATCTCATCGATGTCCATTCTCACACAGAGAAGTAGTCGCAAACCCAGGTGCGGGATTGCCTACAAGTGCTACCAGGAGGAGCCGAGCTACTGTAGCTACGCTACTTGTGCACTATGTGCAGAAGAAGTTAGTCAGACTACTGTAGCAAAGCTACGTATGCACTAAGTGCAGAGGAAGACAAGGTCAGAGCTTATACGTCTTAGGGTGTTTAACCCTCCTAAGCTAGCTCGTAAGCTTGTGCCTATCAGTATTAACAACCGAGTCTCAGAGAGACTAGTATCAAAGATACTGACTCCTTAGAATGAATAGAACGCTCAAGCAGTGATGCTTATAGAGCAGGTTTGAAACTGATTTATATTTATGTTTATCTTCTAACACTAAATATCGAAGCACCTATCCTATACTTAGTGCTAGTCACTATCACTGGCTCTTTAGCCTTTTATTATTATGCAAACATGCATAGTCACTATACTTTAAATAAGTATAGTGACCACGTGGCTCTCTGCCACGATGTGACCCTTCGTACCTCAGGTACGGTCACATCACCTACTTTTGTACCCAAGGTACAGCCACACTACATTGGTGTGGCAGGTGTGTATGTACAATACACACCCCGTTACAAAACGCTCTAGCATGTCCATTACAACGTCAACAAGTCAGCATTATCAAGGCGACTCAAACAAAGTCGTAGTGAGCAAATCGATAACGTGATGGTTCACCAGCTCAGGTTGACGGGCACACAATCTGAAAAAGTAATCTCATCATACAAAGTTGTAGTACCCTCCATGAGTCGATCGTATGACCGCCGGTGATGAGTTGGGGTCACATTCAGGGCTTTGCGTTCGCCATTTCACCAACTGCAAGCACGTAAAGGCAAGGTCCCGACTGATATTAAGAATGGGCGTCGGCTAAGAACATAAGCGGATACGAGAGCGATCTCAAGGCCAGATTGCGGTGACTGATCAAGCCCGCCAGCAGTACATTTTGATTGCGTGAAGTTGTTCGCACAGTGGAAGCCCGACCACAAACCAATCGATTGTCCTAAGGTCCACTGAGAAGATGATTCAACCTCCAATTTGGTATATCAATCGAAAACACGTTTGAAACGATAAATACTTCTACTGTTTTACAAGGTCGAAACTGGTAGATTGAACGCAATACTACAGCAAATTTACGCAATATTCAAGCCGACAAGTCGTTACTGAAACCGCCAGCAACGAGCTTGGAAGCCTGTGGTGGTCGTTGTGTAAAGACAAAGAGTGATTGTAACTGTTCTCAACATCATTAAATGTTACAATGAGTGCTTGAATTCTTCTTTGTCAACCATGAAGTTGATGCAGCTACTGCTGGACAGTTATCACTTATATTGCATTGATCTACATGGTCGCTTTAATGCGACGTAAAGATTTGCTGAAGTCTATACAACAAAGCACTGCATCAAATGTCTAACCCAAATGAGCTCCAAGACATTATGGCGTTTGCGTGCTTTTTTCGAAATGCAATTGAGATTAGCGTTTTATTTAGTGTGACGAATGAAAAAATTGCTTTTTGTATAACATTGTCACACTCGAATTCTCACTTTTTAAATCCAAATGCTTTGTAAGAAAATTAAGTGACATAATCGAAATCCACATCGGTCTCAAATGCTCATCCGATTTGTGCCCAGGTCCTCTCGCATCGCAATCGCTTGCACCGGTATTAAGCACTCAGTCAATCTCCAAAGAGCATGTCATAATTTGCAAGAGCTTGTAAGTATTGCTCACGAAAATTTGGTCCCTTTACGCCCCTCCTTCTTGCGTTACACTCATTTAGGACCATCGACTTCCTGTTTTGTCGGTGCTCGTGTCCGGTGGTTTTCGTCCACTGACGTCTCTGCATCCAATGAATCTTTTGCAGTAGTAGCAGATCAAGTGCATGTGGAAATTGATTTGATCAACAACGTAGTGGCGACTGCCGATGTCAAGCGAGAACTCATTCAATTGCGTGAAAAAGCAGCCGACCCGAAGCTCTGGGACGATGCTGCAAACGCAGCTTCAGTGGTACAGCGACTAGCTGCGTTGGAGTCACGGGAGAACCGAGCTTGCGAATTGCATCGCCAATACTTAGACATTAAAGAAACGTATGTGTTGGCAGCGGAGGAGAACGATGAGCCCATGCTTCAAGACTGTATGAGTGCTATGACTTCAGTGCACGCAGATGTGCAGCAGCTACGACTGGAACTGTTGCTCTCTCATGAGAGTGACGCTTGCTCGTGTTTTCTGGAGATTCAGGCGGGTGCTGGTGGTACCGACAGCTGCGACTGGACGGCGATGTTAGCAAGAATGTATTCGCGCTGGGGCGAAGCGCGTGGTTTTCAAGTGCATCACGTCGACGAGTCCGTAGGAGATGAGGCGGGCTTTCGCTCTGTAGTGTTGCGGATTGAAGGTGCGAACGCTTATGGTTGGGCAAAGTGTGAGGCTGGTGTGCACCGCCTTGTACGCACCTCGCCGTTTGACAGCGCTAGAAGGAGGCAGACGTCGTTTTCTCAAGTTCGCGTGTATCCTGTGGCTGATGAAGGAAGCTCTCACAAAGAAGTCGACATCTCACCCAAGGATCTACGAATCGACACGTTCCGTTCGTCGGGGCCTGGTGGTCAGCATGTAAACACGACAGATAGTGCTATCCGAATCACACACATTCCGACGGGAATTGTAGTGCAGAGTCAATCAAATCGATCGCAGCATCGCAATAAAGCTGAAGCATTGGCTATGCTCCAAGCTAAGCTTTACCAGTGTAGATTAGACGAAGAGAAGCGTGCAAGACAGCAATTGGCTCAAGGACTTGGGGACAATGCCTGGGGCAACCAGATTCGGTCTTATGTGCTTCACCCGTATCAGCTAGTGAAGGATCATCGTACAAACTACGCAGAAGGCAACACCACCCAAGTGCTTGACGGTGCCATTGACCACTTTATTGAAAAGATGCTTCTGTATCAAGCCAGTTCCAGTACTTTAAATGAGAATTCTGGCAGATAATTATGCTTGACGTCGTTTAACTTGCCAAAATACTGAAACATCAATATTAATCAGTCAGCCATAATAAACGACCGTCTCTCATCGTTGCGACGAATTGGAGATAGTAGAGCTCGTGAGCCTATCGACCGTCTTGATGTAGCAGTTTCCGCGACACGACGAGCGATCTCAACGAGTAAGAGGTCGTGCTGTTGAGAGGATATAGTGTGCGTGTGTTCTGCCCAGTCCAACACCTCGCTAACTTTCTTCGTCACAACATCACGTTCGTCGACAGTGCGACTAAGCATGAACGCTTGCTGCAAAAATGATATCTCCATCTCATTAGGATTTTGCAGCCATGGTTCGCCGTCGATCTGCACAGGCAGGGTTTCTTTCAAAGAAAGACTGATGGACTTGGCCTGACACAAACGTACTGCCTTCGACAAGCCCACCTGCATCTGGCCGAGATGCAATGTGCCATATACTGCTACGACATCGAGTAGACCATCATGCGGAGAAGAAGGACCGAAGTGCGTGCTGGTGTTGCACCTGCCACCACTGCTCGTCTGGCTTCGGTCATCATCTGTCTCGCTATCCGAGTCCGAGTCCTCGCTGTCGGATTCTGTGTTATCATGCCAAAGCTTTGAGCCACCGCCGTAACTGTTAATGTTGAGGATAATGACGCCTTCTGTTCCTTCAGGAAATGTGATGCGCTTTCCATCGCAAACGAGTACAATTCTATCGGACAACCCGGCACACGTTCGGACAAGAAAATTCTTTGCTCCAAATTGACTATACCACAACTTGTTCACGAACTGACTCATGAAAAGCCCCGGCGAGCGTTCACGCTGTTGATGGAACTCAAGCGCCACCTGAGCATCCACCCCGATACCCAGGTAATTGTTCAAGACGACGCGCTTCTGCGACTGGCCAATGGTCACTTCCCACCGATCCAGCAGACTAACATGGGCAGCTTCCACTTCACTAAGAATTTCGCTCACATTTGTGGGGGCTGAAAAGCCGGAACCCCAACCCAAAATACGAGCCAAATCGTTACCAGTACCCAACGGCAGAACTGCAATAGGTGGCTGCCGTGGAGCTCCGATCTCATCTAAAGCACCAAGTATCCAGCCTACAGTTCCGTCTCCACCACAAACCAGAATTCGCAGTCGTGGAAGCCCAGTGAACCGACGCAGTGGTTCAATGGGGCTTTGGTGCGATAGATCATATACTTGTAGGGGATTAAGCCGCTTTCGCACGTGTCGAAGAACATGTAGCCCCATCTTACCACCACTACGACTATTGATAAAAACCAAAAGTGGAGTAGTCTCCTTGGGAAGCTCAACGAGATCATACGGTAGCCCATCGAATCCGGACACGGCGTTTGATGAAACTACAAGTGGATTCTCCCACTCACTAGGGACCTCGCTTCGCAAAGTTCTTGTTGGAGGAATCGGCGGCTTTATTGTGTTGCTGGTAATTCCACGTCGAAGACGAATAGTAGACATTTTCTTCGCTGCGATATGCGCTACACTACGCATCGAGTTGAGTGCTCGTTGTGACTTGGTAGCAATTGAGTTAGGGTCGTGCAACACAACACAAGACGGAGGTAAGATGAGGTTTGCATGCCGACCCAAGCTGCAACGTCGTAATAGCGGCGGTCGATGTACACGGGCCAGTGCCTGCTGGAAGCATTCCTCGTGCACTCGTACATGACACCACGCACATTTGAGTCCTGAGAGTGCTAAAATACTTCCGCAGAAGAGTCCACACAACGAGCAAGAGTCCATCGGGTCGATGTTACCCTTTATCCATATGTGTTGTTGCTGTTGCATCGACATGAGCGAAAGCTCTGTTTCATTGTTGTTTGACGAATCTGTTGCAAGTGACAGCAGTACTCCAGGCAATTTACAGGCACAGGATAACGTAGATGGGAATACAGAAGTGCCACCAACAAAATCACTTGACGAAGAGGAACTGGGTATGCTCTTGTAGTGCATTATAGAAGCCGCGCATTGTGCATGCGCAAACATGCCGCAGATGTCGCACGTGACCACATAGCTGCGGATGCCATAGACAATGGTCTGACACATATTGCACCATTTTAATCTATAGGTAAACACAATAGAGTTGGTCAGTTTATAATATAGTAGCAATTGTATCTTAATGTTAGTATGTAGCTCTTCGACATAAATTACTTACCCAGCTAGATTCCCCGGTCTCCACTGATGCTGTCCAATGACGTACGGACCGTCACGAAAGCTGCGCCATGTAAGGAAGAATAGAAACTTACGTATACAGAGAAAGAAGAATAGAAAAAGTACTAATATTACGAGTATATAGCCTATTAAGTTGAAATGCGCCATTGTCGCACAATGTGCATACGCTGCTGACAAAAAGGTGTAAGTAGGAACATTTCCATCATGAGACGTCGTATTATTTTACTTTTCCAAATTTTTGAAATTTACTTAGCCAATCAAAAAACAACAAATCAATATATCTGATTCCAAATCAATTGGAATGTCATTCAGTCATTTTGATTAGAAGAAAAAGAAGATTCAAACGACATATCGACGCTTTTTACTGAACTTCAGCTGATAGTTTCTTAGTAATCTTAGCAAATGACTCACCCTGGACCTTGGCAACATCCAGTTCAAGCTGACTAGGTTGGCGAGACCCATCTCCACCAGAAAAAGTACCAGCACCCCAGGCAGATCCACCGTGGACCTCATCCATGTTGAAGAGCAAAGGACTACGATAGCCGAGTGGTACATAGGTTAAGCCTTGATGAGCCAAGAACGTCAGTGAAGTTAGAGCTGTAGTCTCTTGACCGCCACCTTGGGTGCCAGTGCTGAAGAAGATACCTGCAGGCTTGCCAATCAACGCACCGGCAGACCATAGACCGCCACAAGCGTCAAATAGCGCCTTGACTTGCGCCGGCATGCTGCCGAAGCGCGTAGGAAAGCCCAATAGCAATCCATCGGCATTCTTGAGGATATCTGGCGTAGCCACGGGATGATCTTTCTTAGGTGCCGCATGCATTTTGGCTAAGATCTCATCGGACAAAGTCTCCTGGACTTGATAAACTTCTGCCGTAACGCCGGCTACAGACTCGACACCGGTCTTAATATATTCAGCCATTTTAGCAATGTGACCATAGGTTGAGTAGTAGATTATTGCAACATTTGTCATTCTGTCGGAGTCGTAGCTAATTTTTAAACTTCAACTTGCGTAAGATTGCGAAAATTGTAGAATGAGAAAAGATGGATATAATTATATCTTTTCTCATTCATACATCCCTTTTTTTAAAACAATAAACAAAAAAATTAGGAATTGATTTATGCACTACTAAAAGGTAAGCAACATCCTGTCCTGATACTCAACGATATGAACGGCGCTGTGTAGTCGAAAAGACCGAGATTCCTTTCTTATTCGATCCTTTCTTCTTCCCACCTTTGCCTGACCCTGCCGACGCCACTGATGGTTGAGTACTTGACACGTTTCCCCATGCAGATGGTAACCGAAACTCGGTCGAATCCGTAACAGAAGGTCTGGCATCATCCACAGTACCACTTCCAAGTGCTGGAAAATACCCAGAGTTTTCCGTCACACATGCAAATGACTGCTCATCATCATATACTGCTGTTTGAAGTTCACGTTCAAGTTTAATCTTCAATGATTTAGGGAGAGTAAATTTTTCCAGAGACTCGGCCAACGATTGCTCATAAGGGGACGGCCACATGGTTCCTTCTTGTTCAAGAGAGAAAGTTGACGTGGTGCTTCTATATATTGGAGATGAAAGAGTCGGCGCGTTTTGTAGCTTGACCTTGTGCTTCCGCAGCTTAGCACGCTTCTTGAGTTCATGGCGGAATACATTGAGCGTTGAAGGCGAAAGCTGAGGTGTCAAATCAAGCTCACAAACGTAGAAATCGCAAAATCGTGGTAAGTGGTTCAAGAAACGATACCGCTTCTGCGCTTCTTCATCCATGACCACATGCTCAATATCCAAAATACGTCCGTGAACTTTTTCTGGTAGCAAGTAATAGCGATTAACGGACACCGGCTCCAAACGAGCTGCCACTTGAGTCCATGTAATTTCTAGTTCTTGTGCGTCCTCCGCATGTTCACTATTCAGCTCATGCTGACGCTCATCCGAAAACTCCTTTAGCAGACACTTCATGTTCAACGGGTGGAGAATTACATAGGTCCCATTGGCAATCTGATAGAATGAATATGCATCACCACTATCGTTCGCATGAGACTTCCGCTTCGCTACATTAGTGGTGGTGGCGGTGCTGTGGGCAGGAGAGGAACCATATGTTCCACGGCCAAAATCGTTACTCATGGTAAGACGCCCTGAAGTGTTCCGCATGGCCTCTTCTACAAAAGGAAGGTTGTCCACGTCGCCGCTGCTACGAAATTCGGCGTCCATGGACTGCAGATCGTCCATTTCCGAGTGCAACATATTCTGCAAATACTCAGGCGTAGCTTCCAAGATCCTAGAATACATCGCGTCGACATCATGCACGCTTGGCAACATTCGAGAGCGCTTACGTTCGGCCAAAGCAGCAACCTCTGAACGCGATGAAGAATCTGGTTTAATGTCTTCAGCTTCAACGTTAACAGGAGAGAGGACACGACGCTGAGGAAACATGCTGGACTTCGGGCGCTCCAGAAATTGAAAAGTTGCGTTGGAACCCACACGAGGAGGAATTTGCACTTGAGTAAGCTGTACACTGCGTAGATGCCCTTTTTGCACAGATTCAAAGCACATCGGGCAGCGTCGCCAATACTTTTCTGTCATCGACAGGTAGCGAAGTATACACGGCCAGCTACATCGACACAATCAAGGCAGAAAAAATTGTAAGCAAATGTGCGTATTAATACTGCATAGAGGTTGTAAAATAATTTGCACCAGAAAATATGACCACATTTGGTAATTTTGGGCGCGCGAAAAGTGTCCATGCAAATTGGACAGGTATGCGGGCTTTCAACGTCATACCACAGCAGTACCTGCTCCACGCAAGACCCTACAATCAGACCAATGCTACATCAGTGCTCTTATCCAGTATCTAGTTTTTAGTCGCGCTTGCCCTGCAGCTTACATTCCGTTAGAGCTTCAAAATCCCATGTCGGCACGTCGGCATCCGGATCAAATGGTGCAATCACAAAGCGGTAGCTAGTCACAACCACGTAAATTCATACTAATCATTATCTAAATATTCACAAAGACAAATCTCTGCACGAAGACGTACTTCGCATGAAGATATTCCGCCTGAGTACGAGGCGCCAAACTTTTCTTTTTCTTTTGGTGATGATGCACCGAGTTGTCACGTTCAGGCATCGAAAAATTGAGCAGATGATTTGCAGATATGCCTTTGCGGGTAACACGTGCCTCATAGTCCATATTCTTCTTCTGTAGATGCAAACTGACAGTCAGTATTACAATGTCCACGTTCATTTTCATCCAGGATCGTCACACCTGCTCTCGACGTGGACCACGGCAGCTCGATCCTCCATTTCTATTGTTACGAGTATGATTATTATTACTATTAATCAAATAATAGGCGTCAATATGTGTATGTCCATTGTCGACCGATCCAATATGAGGTCTAGAAACGTACCTCATGTTTATGGACAGTCGGAAGTAAAATAAATAGTTATATCAATAGATAAAAAAGATACAAATGAAGTAGATAAAACGTAGTAAGGAACAAGAAGAAGGATGTCACGCGAGTGATTATACACCGCGTCAGAGAGAGATCAAGCGGGACGTCGGGTGCGCAGTTTTTGCGAATACCAAAATGCGTGAATAGTTTCGACGGACATGGTTTCAGCCAATTAAAATGCTTCATATTCTTCATTTTTCTTGTTCGCGTGACATACACAAGAATCGATGGCGGAAACCCATGAGGTGTTGCGCATGTATCGATGTCTTCTCAAGTTGGCGCAGCGCTACCCAAGCGTCAAACGCGAATCAATTATTCGTGATATTAAGATGGAATTTCATGCAAATAAGAATCTGACGGATATGCAGAAGATACGTGAAGAGCTTGCATCGGTACAGGCAGGTATCAAGGAGTTGTCGATGTATGCGAGCTTACATCCGTCAATACCCAATTGGAGCGTTGAAGTAGGGCGCGATACAATTCAGCTGCCACTTAATACAAACGGTGGTGTCAATGCTAAGATTTTCGGTGATAGCAAGAAGAGTAAAATGCAGTAACAAGTTACACCAAGAAATTTGTTCATACGGGTAAAATATCTGTTGCTCACAACAGTTACTTACCAGTTGATTCTTTAAAACTCAATGCTATAGCGTCAACGGTATCGGTACTTAATCATGTACGACATAGTAGTAAAAAACTTTGCAAGAAATTGGGCTCAATAGAGGTGATGTTGTCATCGATTGTTGCCGAAATATGATTGTATTATCCTTAATGGATGCAAGGCGTATAAGAAATATGCAGGAGCATTTATTCATTCATGTATGGTTGCTTACCGCATACAAAAGCAAACAAACTATATTTGTGGCAAATACGACGCAAGGAAACGATCTGTGTGAGTTGGGAATACCATGCGTCATATTCAAACCTTGCTAGGGCCTATCTGGTTTTATTTCTGGTGGTGTTCTTACTTGGTTACTGAAATGAAGAAACACTGGTTCACCATGAGCGTTCTCAGCGTCAGACACCGATTTTGATTCGACTATATAATGTATGCCTGGCTGCATCATTCAGAATGTTGTGCTTGCGCTTGCAGCGGACACTTCTGATCATTGCAATAACTCAGCCAATACGCAATATTATCGCTACTAATTTTGAATCGCCTTTGATATGGTTATATTTGCTTTTCAAAGAAAGCTTTTATACTATTTGCAATGTAAAGGGTTCTAGTATGTTAAAGTAATAGAACCAAAGGTAGTGTCAATTATTTTTTGACATACTCCCTGCAGGTCATATGCAGATGTAGATGGGCGGACGCTTGCACTTAGTTTTGAACTCTTCTAAGCTTACGCTCGGAATGGTATTGAGCATTACCGCTATGCAAATCGACGAATCTTTCGTAGATGTAAAATAATTGCATCATTTTGTATAGATTAGTAAGTATTGACAGAGGACCTGATGGCGATTATCGATCGACCATTTGATGAGTGCAGAAAACGATTCTGTCAAAGCACAAGAGATACTTTGCAACAAGTATATAGAGCTTTACAAACTTGTTTTTGTATGAAAATTACATTTTTATTCTTGTTTTTAAAATACATTCACGCGTTTGCTTGTCACAGAAATAATGAACAAGACCTGTAACTTTGTTCCCTATGACAGGCGCTCATGACATAACTTGCGTCATGTGCTCGTCCAGACTGATCGATCCATTCGTAGATTCATGCTTACATGCGTTGTGGTCGGCAGCCATCCCCTTATTTTAAATGTACACCCAGCCGGAGCGCTCAAAGGCCGTGGAAGGGTCAGTCTTCTCCAACTTAGAGTGAGGCGACATGCCGCCAAAGTCTTGCTCCGAGGGCACCTTGTTAGTAGTGGGGCGAAAGATTACGTATTTGAGCTGGTTGAGCATGGTGGATTAATCGATTTAATTGACGTGTTATTGACAAGGTAAATTGGAAACTGTGCTGCATGGATTGAAAACACGATGTCGAATCAACAAAAGTAACTTCAACAATCGACTTTACAGGGTTATGAATTGCTCAGAGAGCGTTTCTTGTTTTAAATCATTCAATTGTACAACGCCGTATTCAAAATATCATTTCTCACAAGCTCTTGCTGCTTTGGATGCGACAAAACGGTATGATGATTGGTCAATTGTAAAACGAAAGCAGGCAAAGTGACATGGACGCGTCACTAGTCTCCACTTGAATGAGCAACGTGCGCTTATTGGCTACATTTGTCTGGCGCGTCACTCGTTCCTCGCTGCGGCGCTTGAAGATCAGCAGTGTCCGTCATGCAAGACCAGTGCTTTCTATGGCTCTGAGTTGTCTGTCCCTTCTGTATCATGCGTTCTATTTCACGGCGCAATATGAATAGAAATGCCAAACAGACGATAGCAAGACACAAATTTACATATCCTAGCGCTTTCAATGCTTGCAACACTTTCCAGTAGATTCATGTCATCAATCGTATTTCATATGAGAACACGCAAAGGTTTTCTCATTTGTTCGTTAACAACTTAAACTATCGCAGAATATATCTGACTATATATCTTGAATCGGCCACTTACCAAGTAAAGCGTAGCGATCAATGCTATGAGATACAACAAGATAAACAGGTAAACAAGATGCATCTAAATGGCGCTATTGGCTGATGCAATTGCATAATAAATAGCGTTTCATAATTCCATGCTATGTACGACGCCTACCGTTGATATGCTAGAGGTACCGGTGACGGAATTTCGGTTGATAGGTTGATCCAACTATTCACGATAGACGTCGCTGCGGTGCAGATGAGCTTATCCAACGGAAAATTTGCAATTACATGTATTGCTTTCGTTCTTGAACAGTGCGTTTGTCTCAAGCGCTCAGCAAGTACCAGGTAATCTGTAGCTCCGAATTCTGATATACCGCCGCCGGCGACCGCGGGCTTTCTGATTGAAGTGCTGTTGAGTAATGTGAAAACGTTAAGTTGATGGAGGATTGATACGTGGACGCATTGCAAATAAGCCAACGACTTCATCTTGACGAGCTCAATCGAAAACAACGGATCAGCACGGAAATCAGTTACAATGTGACTGAAGCCAATCAGTTATGGCGATGTCCTTTGCAGACTAATGTGCAGGTTCTGTTAAGGTCCAGCTAAAAGGGGTCGAAGTTGTAGTGTATTTAGAAAGTTCAACAGTAATGGATTGAGCGGAGTCTAAGTAAATTGAGCGGAGTCTAAGCGAATTGAGCGGAGCTCTAAGCGAATTGAGCGGAGTCTAAGTGAATTGAGCAAGGTCTTCGTCCGTACGCTCTTTGACAAAACATGGTGATGGCCGTAGAGATTAATACACAGACAACGAAAAATGCAAGCATGGGGTCGGCGAAGGAGATGTGGATACAATATATGGATAATGAGAGTAGCAAAGGTCTGTCCATGTCGTTGCGCGAATTAAGTATCGAGAATCCGTTCATTCAGCTTTGTCATCCATCCATCATTCCTGAGTCAGGTTAAAGTAGTACATCGCCATATGCACTCTCGTTTTCAATCTGTGGAATACTGTAGGTCTGTTTGAAATGCTTCTTGTCTCTTGGTCAAATGTTCGATAATGAATGATTTACTAAGTATCAAACACAACAGCTAAAAATTTATGCAACTAAAATTCAGCGCTAAAGCGCGCCTCAAACGAGCCCTCGTCCAAAACAACCTCGTTGCTCTTGAAAATGCCCTTGCCAAAGTATTCTGCAATGGTATGAAAACCATCCGCAGCGGTCTCGAGCTGGTTGTAAAATTGCTCATGATTACCAGCTTTTTGCTCGAGTTGCGTTTTGAGTCCCAGGATGTGACGATGGTCCATAGAGCACGTCATACACTCTCGTTCTGTCTCAGAAATGCAGTTATGATGGAAGCTATGTTGGCACATAAAGTGCACGGCAGGTAAATCCAAATCGTGGTTGCACAGGTCGCACTTGGTTGCCTGAAACACAACAGCATGGCTACTGAGTTGCGCTATCTCTTCCTTCATTTGCTTCGTGTCACTTTTGAACGCCTTTATATTTTCTTCATCTTCCTGAATCTTCTTCTCGTCGCTAGCCAGCTGATTTACCACGTACTGCTTGATTACTGATACGGGTAGTTCACGTGACTGGCTCAATACCTGCACAACTTGAAGGGGAGGTATTGCTGGATTCGTGTCAATTAGTACCAGCAATTGTTTTAACTCCTTCCACTCCTCACCACTTGTAGCACCTTTCGGCAATGGCCCTCGTTCAGCAAAATACTTCAATGCCAATGACCATAAATTTGGATCCTTGTCGCCGTGTTTGCGCACCTCCTCCACAATGCTCTGGTCGTCGTTCTCCTCGATATGGAATTGCACCAGCATGTGGTACATGTGCAGCTTGTTATACAGATAGCGCTTGCCCTTTTTCATGTCGTGCATTTGCAGATGAATCAAGGCATGGTCCTCATCATACTTCACGCGCGGATTGTCAAGAATCCGAAGCACTGCCTCTTCTTTCTCCTCAACCGAACGAGAACCATTTTCGCCCTCATCATCGTCGCTCAGAACCATTTCGAGCAGCGTGTTGCCAATCGATGTATTGCTCACCGTCTCCACCTCAACAATATACTGCAAGAACTCCTTAAGCTGCGCGCGATGGGATACAAACAAGTGCAAAAAATCGCCCGGGTCCGATTTCAACGACGGGTTGCCTGGAACGAACTTACCCGTACAAAGACGCTTTAGTAACTCCGTTGCAGGCGCCGGCATATGAGTAACCAAAGTGCGCCCATACTTTCGCAAATTTAGATCAGCTTCCGAAAAGCTGAGATGCTCAATGTACTCAAGCGCATCGGCCACGCGTTCCTTTTCACTCTCTGATAGCGCAGCTGAATCCTCAGAATCAACATAACTTATATGACCAAGCTGTATTTTCAAGTACCAACTGTGTTCTTCATGCTTCTTCGCCAGCGTTAGGGCATGCTGCGGATAATTTTCCCACAGCACACTAATTGCAGTCTCAACGTCAAAGTTCAGATTGGCTCCTGCACCTCCGTTCCTGGGTGTCAGATCACATGAGTCGTCATCGCTTTTTGTGCCACTTGTCTTCTTGGCTTCAATCACCTCATCGAGTTGAATAAACTTATCCAGCTTTTTTACATCCTTGAGCTTTGTGTAACAGTTCAAAAGAAGTGTCGTATGTTCTGCGTTTGCAAATGCCTTCTCGTGAAGAGCCTCAAGGTAGGCCGTGAGATTGTGGATGCGCTGTGCATCCAGAAAGCGACGAATCACGTAAGATGGCTCTACGTGGCCAATTGTGCGAACATATTGACGCAAAGATCCGTCGTAGTCTCCCTTTTGATACAGATGATCTCCGTACATGCGGAAAATATCGATGATGCTGTTTACGTCGTAATTTGAGCTAAATGCCAGTGAAATAGCAATTGAGTACAAGTTCTTGCGAAACAAGATCTCCAGTTTGGAGGTCGTATCCTTCTCACACAGGCGATATACATGCCCTACAGAAGATACCACAAAGATAGCACCAAACTCGCAAACAATATGACGAACTTCTTCCATCGCGTCCAGCCCAAAACGTGCCCCGGGTGCGTGAGTGTTCAATGCGAGCGGTGGCTTGCCCCTAGGACCCATGGGGTTTGAACTGGTAAGCGTCCAGTTAAACGCAATGAACTTGTTCTGCAAATCATACACGTTCACCTGGTGCCGCCCACGAGAATCCACGTGCGCAACCAGAAGGTAGTGCTTAAAAAAGTGCAAATACTTCTTCTCGCCTTCAAAACCAAAACAGACCGAGCGGTCTTCAGTCGTGTAAAAGTACACGGCATCTGTCTGCCCGACAGCAATTTCTCCTTCCTCATTCACACATGAACAGTTCATATCTACACCACGTTCGTCCAGGACAATCATACGTTGCGGAAGAGCCGCAGCACCACCAGCGCTTTTGACAAGTGCCGGGTCATCGTGAGAACAGTGGTAGCACGTAAGTCCACGTCGCGTAGACGCATACAGAAAAACATGTGCCACTGTAGGTGTAACCGGTTTGCTGGTGAATGACAGTCCTGTGACGGGATACTGTCCTGCAGGCTGGATCAGATGTGGTGGACGGTCAGTACGTCGTTTCAAGTCGCTGCGAAACAAAATCACAGCGCCGTTTTTCAGTCCCACCGCAAATTGACTTAAGTCGTCGTTCACTGCAAACGCCGTCACAGCTTCTTCCGGGTACTTTTTGACAAAAATAGGAATCTGTTGCAGCAGCTTAAGTTTGCCTTCTCTGTCCTGCTGATCCGTGCGCCAAAATCGCACCACCGCTGTGGTTTTTCCCGTTGGCTTGGACGCATACATCTGCAGCACTTCCCTTAATTAAATTACTTCTTTTCACCGAGATTTCAATTGACAATAATGAATCCTAATTGCACTCACATCTTCTGCATTTGGCGTACGACCTGCTTCTGCGATGGCTTTCGACTGTTCCCGTAACTCTTCAGAGCGCGGATCAATACCGTCACCTATTGTAACCAGCACGTTGCTGCGCTTCATCTATTGATAGTAATAAAATTACAGCAGAGTACAACCATAAATACGTAACAGAGGCGTCAAACATTGTAAAACGCGAGCGAAATAGCGCGATGTATCAAGTAAGTAACACACCATGACGACGTGCGATACAAAGAGCTCATGTGCTTGGAATTTACGAGCTTCTAGGGATCGATTAGCTAAATGTACGAATCCGTCAGCGTCTCCTACGCAAATAAGGCCTCGATTGGCGCTCATACTCGTGATGTCCACACCCTGTGATGAGCGAAGATTAAAAGTATGAAAAGGTATTATCATTTTAATCAAACGATCATATACAAATACATAAGACCACATATACATCTACTTCAAACGATATACAAGACAGATGAATACCTTCATCCATGGTCCACTTGTATCCTTCAGAACCTCTTTATCAAAGAAGGCAAAGCGTCTCCACTGCGCCATTTGCGATCGGGGAGATTTTATCGTTTGCCTTGATTGTAACAAAGGAGACCCAAATGTAAACGTACTTAATGGCACAGTCATCCTGAATTTATTAATTTGGGATCATATGCATTTTAGTTTGGGTCACTGTTACACGTACCTATTCAAAATTCATGCATCTCAATTATTGCTCTTCGGTTGCAAGTTTGTCTTCGTCCTCACATAAGCTCTACCTCGTAGTAAACTGACTGGTTTCACTGGTTTTTCTGGTATACTGTCCAGCGCGTTTACTAATTTCTGTAATTTGTCCTTATTTTTTCGATCCTTCTTGAGTAGAGCCTCGAGCTCGATGTCTACAAGCGTCTTCGGGAGGGTAGACGGTGTTTTGCTTAACTCCATCTTCCTTAAGGCCAAATTGAGCTTCTCTAAGTGAGCTTTAAGTAGGACTCTGCCCATTTTTTTTCCCAACACATTATTTATTTCCAAATACAATTTCTCGTCAAAGGCGTTTTCCTCTCCTTTCCTGATGCCACGACTCTCGCTTTTGACTTTTTCCGCGACCATATCAACCCACTCCAAAAAGTTTGGTTGAGTGAAAAGACAGATATCCTCAAGGGGACTTGGAAACTTGAAAATAACATACAACCGAGACGCATCGAACGGAAAAATGAGTTTCCATTTTTGGCAAGACAATAAAAATTTCATAAATGATGTGCTCATCTTTTCTAGGACAAGTGTGATCTTCTCTGAAAAGGGTATTTCGATCTTTGAAAAGGTTGCCGCGACTTTCAAAGCTGTTGGATCCAAGTTTGCAACTGATAGTATGGAAGACACTCGCTCTTCGGATGTGTTGGCATCGCCCTCATCTGTTTCGGCCACATGGGATCTCAAATGCCGCTTGATTGAGATGCCGTTATGCGCTGTATACAGCGTATCCAAACCGTGTAAGCTCCACTTGATTCCACCCGATGTCCAATTTACGCTGATCATGCTTGTAGCTGCATACAATGAGATCAGCACGATAACAGCCAGGACTTTCACGTAGGAGAATCGGGTGGTGCTTAGTACCGTAACAGTCATTCTTCAAATCAACTGTCAAATATATAAATGGTGGGAATACAAGCCTGTTTGATTTTTTCCCGGTCAAAAATTGTTCAAATGAGCCGAAACCGCTCAGGCGATGGGAATTTTGATTCGCTAAAATAAAAAGCTTAACGAGTTATGCGTTATCCAATCAAAGGGAAGGTTCAGTTTAAGTTGCTACATAAGGTTCCACGTTCGTCGACGGCAATGAGCGAGCACGAAGAGCGAGGTTATCGACAAGAAGAGCGAAATATATGACAAGAAGGCCTTTATCTCGCTGCGTACTATTGAGAGCAAAGTTGCGCTATGCATTGCTGGTGCGCCTAGCCATCTGTTATTCGATACGTATCTAGTGATATGCTAACGTGTTTCTCGATCTTTTTTGTACAGGGTGGTACGTGATCAGTCTTGTGACGCTCTGGACAAATCGTTACGTGCTGTCAAAGCTGCAGGTGGACTCCAATCTACTTTCACTTGCACAACTGAGCATGTCAGTTATTGGTGGCCTTGGATGGGAAGTTTACGTGGTCGGATGGACAGTGTGCAAGCGCGGTTTGCGCAAGATGCTGAATAACGGACTCAAGGACATGCTACTACTTGCTAGCGTGCGCATCCTTACGGTACTCTTTGGACTTACTGCACTCAAGTACATTGCCGTCTCTTTTACGCGTTCGTGGACAAATTGTAGTGTATGTTGCATGCTGGAAGGGAAATGTTGTAACGTTGCATCTGTTCTTGATGTATTTATTTGTACAGAAACGATCAAGTCATCTGCGCCATTTTTCACAGTTTTGCTGACTTACTTCTTGCTGGGTCAACGGACGGGATGGAGAATTAATTTTTCACTTACCCCAATCGTAACGGGGTTAATCTTTTGTAGTTTTTCAGATAACTCGTTCCACGTCATTGGGTTTGTTGCAGCACTCATGTCTAATTGTGTTGATTGCATTCAAAACGTATTGACCAAGAAGCTTCTTAATCGCTCATACTCGTACGTACGCCTATGCTGTGTTGCTCTTTTTATAAATATCATTGACTGATTTAAGTGCTCGTTACACCGCCATTTTTTTGCATTTAGAACCTCGCAATTGCAGCTCTACAGTAGCATGTTTGCGGTGATCATGCAGCTTGTGTTTATCATTTATAACTGGGTTGTGAGTCCTCTTGATCCAATTCTTGAATCCAGCAAGACCAACTGCTCGGTATCATTTATTGCATTGGTGCTCATCCTGGACGGCGCGTGCTTTTTCATCCAGTGCGCCCTCGCATACATGCTCATGAGTATGGTGTCGCCAGTAACCCACAGTGTAGCCAACTGCGTTAAGCGTGCACTGATAATTGTGCTGTCAATTTATCGCTATGGAGATGATGTGACTCTAATGAATTGGTGTGGAATGATCCTCGTGATCGTCGGCGTCTATGGCTTCAACGCAGCTTCGCGAATTGAGCGCGAAGAGGCGGCCAAGGATTCAGTAATTGGTCTTTCTACCAAGGATCCAGTCATCGGTCATTCCTCTGTGACTCTTATTCCAACGAGCACGATTCATGCCCTGTCCGAGATTCGGATTGAAAAGGGTCAAAAGGTGAAGCTTTAGTGTCATTGTGTTTGCATGCTTGTATATACCGTAGTGCTCGAAAGTTAGTGCACTTGACAAGGTTTTTTAATTTGTAAATAGCTGCTTTTTTCTAATATTTCAACCAATCATAAGACTGGTTTTTTATTCGAGGGCGGTTTAGCCACGCGATCACAATTAAAGAGCGAGGTAGAAAACAAGTAAAATACCGATGGCGGGTGCAACAGATTATGCAAAGGAGCTTTTACGAAGGCAGTTTCTAGGTATGTCACCATGTTTTCCCATGTATTTTCTTTATTGTTGCATATTTTTTTTGCTTGAATTTGCAGTAATTGCCTCAAGCAAAACAATTGAAATAGAGACATGACTAACCACTAAAAACTCAAATGTGGATATTTCTGGACACTTAGAAATGAGCCGCAATCCACCTGAGGGTGTATCCGTGGGTCTAGGTGATGATGACAATATTTTTAACTGGGAGATTTTGCTAGTGGGTCCACCCGATACGTTATACGAAGGAGCATTTTTCAAAGCGGTGCTCGAGTTTCCCGCTGACTTTCCCAATATGCCGCCCAAGATGACGTTCAAGTCTGAAATGTGGCATCCTAATGGTCAGCTTTTTGATACGAGATGAAGTGTTTTGTGATTGAAAAATGAAATAGAAGAATAAGATGATTGCCTAATTCTAACATTGCTACTGTATAGTGTATCCAAACGGTGTAGTGTGTATTTCGATCCTGCACCCGCCTGGAGAGGACCATTTGAACCAACAGGAAACAGCAGATGAGCGATGGCGTCCAATTCTCGGTGTTGAGTCCATCTTAGTGTCGGTCATATCTATGCTCTCGGACCCTAACGACGACTCACCTGCCAATATTGACGCTGCGGTACGTGTAGCGCACAAACATTGACATAACGTACAGAAGTTATGACTGTTACAATCGATATGCTTTGTTTCATGGAATCAGGTGGAATGGCGAAACGACAAGGAAGGCTTTAAGAAGCACTGCCGTCGTATTGTGCGGAAATCCCAGGAGGAAATTTAGTCCATCTTTTGCTCACGCATTGCGTACCGCTCTGCAGTTTACAGCTTTTTCTTCCGTTCTGACTGCTTGCTATCAAGCGCAACTACTTTACCTAACATGCTATAACAGCCGACCATTTCTTGGACTTGCAGTTATTTTGTGATTGATTGAGGGTGTGTGTTAACAAGAAATAAAAGAGTTTAGTCTTTAGATAACTATCGATAGTGCATGTAGCCATTCTTAGTAGCTTTTCACGACAGACACTGTTCATCCAATGATTAGTAACTATCACCTGCGATGAACACTGGCCACACAGATACACAATTCCGAGTAGAAAACAACCAGCGTCCTTCCCCTCAAGTTACCTTCGATGATCTTTGCTCTTCATCGCTCGCTTGTCATGTCCTCACGCATGACCTCACGTCACATGACGATGCTGTATCAGCAGCAGCAGCAGAAAGCCATGAAGCACACGCACACATTGGTGCTTATCCGTCACGGCGAAAGCGAGTGGAATAAGAAAAACTTGTTTACTGGCTGGTATGACGTGCAGCTCTCAGAGAAGGGCAACAAAGAAGCAGTTGCGGCTGGTCAATTGCTTCAAAAGGAAGGCTACACATTTGATGTTGCCTATACGTCGTACCTGAAACGCGCTATCCGTACGCTGTGGCACGTGCTGGAGCAGTCTGACCAAATGTGGATTCCCGTGCACAAGACCTGGCGTCTCAATGAACGTCATTATGGTGCACTTACGGGTCTGGACAAACAGTCTACTGTGGAGAAACATGGAGCTGAGAAGGTGTTGGAGTGGCGTCGCAGCTACAACATTCCTCCTCCAAACCTTGACACGTCCAGCGAGTACTACCCGGGCAATGATGTTAAGTACAAGGACGTCCCAACAAAGGATCTTCCTTTTGCTGAATCTCTAGCGCTTACAGCTGCCCGTGTGCTCCCAGAGTGGGAGAACACTATTGTGCCCAGCATCAAAGCGGGTAAGAATGTGGTGGTTGCTGCACATGGCAATAGTCTGCGCGCTCTTGTGAAGCATTTAGACAACATCTCAGAGAACGAGATTACGGGCCTTAATATTCCTACGGGCATCCCGCTCATCTACCACTTGGACGAGAACCTCAAGCCCATTCCGCACAAGGACGCCATTGCACCATTAAGAGCCTTTTACTTGGGTGACCAGGACGAAATTCACGCTCGTATTCTTGGTGTCAAGAACCAGACCAAGTAAGAACGTGGTGCTTATAGAAGCAGTCAACGCGCAAACGGGTAAATATACTGAATAGTCTACCTCACTACTTTCGTAGCGTACATGTTATAGCAATGGCAAATGCTTGCACTATTAACCAACTGCTCATGGCTTGAGTTCTTCACGCCAAGCTACTAGCCAGAAACTTGCTTCCGTCTCAAGATGACCAGGCACTAAAGCATTACTTAAGTGCAAGGCGCTCCATCCAAATTTGTTACAGCGCACCCAAGAGGTCAAACAGGAAATGCAAGGTTTGCGTCTTTGACATCAGCATTTCATGGCTTTTATTTCATGCTGCTTGCTATATGTGCAAAAATAATGGCTCCTCGACCTTTGCGGGCAGATTGAAAATGAATGATCTATTGTAAAATCTTCTTCGTCGTCTCATTGGGCTCTACACCCGCCGTCTTCATAAGCGCTGCCACCTCGTCAATCTGCAGCAACAAACAATAGCATGAATAACAAAACTGTCAGCAACATATGGAATCAAAAGCCTACAATGAAACTTGTCGTACCTTATCCTGCATGTCGCTGTTCTTGAGCTTGAACAGCAGGTTATTGCACGTCACACGCTGCAGCTTTTGTGCTTCCCTGTAGCAGCAAAAAAACATTCGGTCAACAGACTACAACCAGATAAAGTAACACCTACGTAGAGCTGTAGCACGTACGCAGCTGTTTTGAGATAGACCACAGCTTTCTCCAAATCGGCCTGTTCGATTGCTGCGCGAATGAGAATGTCGTAAGTACGCTCCGTACTCTTGACCTTGTACTTACTGTGGCCAATCTCGTGCAATGCAAAGACTTTATCAAACTCCTTGTCTCTCAAGAACTTATGCAATAGCTTATTGAGTGTAGACGGCTCCAAAAAGAGACCAATGCGGTAATTAGCTTCCAGTACATCAAACGCCACGTCAGGCGCGTTCAACTCCAGCGCCTTTTTAACAAACAGACCAGCAGCATTCGAGTCTGGATCCACGCGCTTCTTCTCATATATTTTCATAATTTCCTTGGATGCTTCCAATTGCTCACTGGTTGTCACCGTCTTAAGGAACGACGACAGCTTGGTACGCTTAATCGGCACGTCCTTCGTAGCCAGCTGTTTGATATTCTCCATCCACTCATCGGCCGAGAATGTTGGCACAGCTACAGATGAAAAAGATGCATGTTGTGAATGTGTTGCCAGCTGCTGTGCACCTTGGCGCCGTCCAAACGATATGACCGTACGAAACGCCTGCATACTTCCAACCATTATGAACCTTTTTACTAACAGCCAGACATAAAAACCGAGCGGATTCGGTATACCATCATCGGTTTAATGGTTCAAAAGAAACAAAACAAAGCAGAACCGGTAATTGACGGTATCCATTGGACACTCGATTGGCCCTAAATTAGCTGCAAAAGACCTCGGACAATGCTGGCGATGCGTTTGCTGGTCCTGCGCGTGTCTCCAGCCGTACGTAAGCAAGCAACGCGTGCTTTTAGTGGTAACTGGGAGTATCCCAAGGTAGAAGGGAGTGTGGTGGATATTACTAAGGCTTTAACAACCATTGGTGCACGTCTGTCCATTCCCACGGCACCGCTGTACTTTACGCCGCTTAAGGTCGATCACATTGTGCGTGAAATGAAGGGAAAGGAAGAGCTGTTGATGGTACAAAAGACGCTGATTCTGTGTGATGCGAAGATGGCTTATCCTTCAAACTTTGCTGCTGGCAGTTTTTTCTCGGCTTGCATTAAACTGGACGTGGCCGACATTGCACTCGAGTTCTTGCGCCAGGCCGAGAACGTGCGGCATTACGTGAAAAATCAGAGTTTTTTGCGTCTGGCTGAGCATTTTGATAGTCAAGAGAATCAAGAAGCTGTGGATGAGCTTGTGCAAATTATGCTGAAGAAACGTGTGCCCGTGACCTACAAGATGTACACGTTTCGCGTGCTTAACGCCAAGAAGCAGGGCAAGTGGGAAGAAGCAGTAGCAGTTGCTAAGGAAGCGGCCAACAATACTCAGATTAACTCTCACCTTATTATTCAGCTGCTGCAGGATAAAAACGGATGCATTTTGAAGGAGCACGTGAGTGAAGGAGTCTTAAGATCGTCGCAAACGGATTATGTGTCCTGAATTGGTATGGTCATGTTGTTGCTATTGTTGTAGATCCCGTTAGCCAAGTATCTTGCGGACAAGGGTGACGTGTATGTGAATGCATGCCTTGCTGACATATTTGCAGGAGGAAATGGTAAGCTGCCGATGATCAAGGTAGAGGAGCCGGAAAAGACTGAAAGTGAAAATAGAAATGGAGAAAAGGAGGCTGAGAACAAGTAGACACATAGCTATTCATACTCCACGTTGCAGCTTGAGGTAGCTTGGAATCACATAAGTTGGTTTGTGTTCACATTAACATGAAGAAGACGAACGGTGTATGCAGCATACAATAACGAATGTGATGGTTTAATTACTTTAAGTTGTGTAAATTCTTTGTTTGTAACCTGCCAAGCAAACACAGCCCACAGCCGTGTCAACGCAAAGTGCTCTTACTGTCGACGAGCGCCTTGGTCGCAGCCGCCGCTAGGCTTATCCATTATGTACGCTGCCGCCACCTCGTGCTGATAAACGCAAGCAATGTGCCGAATCTAAATGCGTCACAACTGCATCTAAGAAGCTCATCAGACGCTGTCAAAAGCCACAGCAAACGACACAGTTTCCATCAAATCGCTTTTATGTCAACTTTTTAGATCTTGGAGGAGCCAACGTAAATAACATTGCGCGTAAGGCAAAGATCCACCATTTCCAGCAAAGCAGTCTCCAAGTGGCGCTTAAATCCGACAGCGCTCGTTTCCGGGCACACGTGATAGCATGTGATGCTCACGTTGATGCGGTCCGGTTGCAGAGCATAGCAGACACCATAGCCTTCGTTATACATGGCCGAGAAGCCGCCCCAAATGGGGCTGGCACCAGGACCGCCACTAATGTTACTCGTAGACACCAAATACTTTTTGCTCAACTCAAATGCTCGATCCGTGAATAGCGAAGGCTTCGGTGTGATACCAGACATCTCCGCCACAATTTGGAGTCCCATGAGGTGACGATCAATGCCGTTTCCAGTCAAGCATTTCTTCATCGTCTCTTTGTGAGCGTCGATGGCCGTACGCAGCGCGTCCCATTTTGTTCCATCGGATGCACTCGATTCCATCGTCTTCACAAAAGTCAGAGACTCCTTTGACAGTGAACGAATCGTTTCTGTGCGGCCGTGGTAAAACATTCGTGTGTGAGCCGTCTCGTAGACAGCAGGAACTTTCTTGTGCATCTTGTAGTGTGCCAGCTGAATAGCCATCTGCATGAAAAAGTCCGGAGTCAATTTGTAGCGTTTGAGGAAGGCCGAACCGTAGTGGTTGAATTGAATCGTCGCAATGTCGCTGTTGTGGATCAGCTTTCCCACTGCCGCGCTGGCGCATTCAATGGCTGTGTACGCAGCGTTATCTAGCACCCAGTCAAGCCGCTTCGGTTTAATGTTAAGAGTAGGTCTCAAATTCGCGCGGTTTGCAAACTTGGCCTTGAAGTTTTCATTCACGTACTTGATGCAGTAGTCAAACAAGCGAACAACCACCAGTGCATCTGCCCACGCGTGCTGGCCATTTAAACCACCACGAGCGTTCTCGTGGATGATAAGCGTGAATGGTTTGTCGTACCAGCGGTTGCGGCCGTCACCGAGCAAGCAATTGCGCGCAATTTCGTCGTATGTTGATGCAGAGCTTTCGTCAAGAGCCACGCAAAACAGCGCCCTCTCAATCAGATCAAATGACTGCTTATTAATGTCGTCTAGTGATAAAATATAATCCCGTGCCTACAATCATGGTACAACCATCAGTCTAGTGTTTCGTATACCTGATCTTTTCCCATCAAATTTATCTGCAAGTAGCTATACCTTGGCCCAGTTTGTACGATTCTCCGATGTCAAAACACTCACAGGTGGGTATCGTTCCAAATCAAAGAGTCCCGTGGCTTCATCTCGCACCAACTCAAATTGTCTGTAGCAACAGTTGTATCATAAAACTAATTACCAATTTCAATCAAAAACACACAAGTCAGAAAAAGACCTTGTATCTCACACCTTACAATATCTGCCAGTGAGATCTCCTCTCCTTGATCATCAAGCACTTGCACTACCCACATGCAATTATTCCGCAATACAAGAATATGTTTTGAATCGTGTGGGTACGACATCATTTCATCACATTCTTCTCCTGGAATTACACACGTATTAAACATACGTGTGTACGTAAACATACACAATGGACGTCCCATCATCTTTTCCGGTGGATAATTGTCCCTAGTACAGAAACAATATATCGGTCAATTAGAGTGTCCTTATACTATGATCAAGATATAAAAGAAAACCATATGACGTACTCGAGTAAATTCTTCCGGAATTTAAGGATTGCATGAGTAAATATCGACGCTGCTTCGCATTGACTCATATCTCGAGGCCCCCAATTACCAGGTAAGACGCCATACCAATTAATGTTAATGGCTGATGGATAACGTGGTTGCATATAAGCAAATGTCTCCCACCACTCTTCAATCCAATTACGCTCAGAGTCAGCACGTTCCTGCAAAATCGCATGCAGCTGTGGCCCGACACCATGGAGAAAGTCATGACATACGGCCTTTGTATGCTCCATCTCACTAGGTGATAATAATGGCTCACAGCTCTGTATATACTGATCCATAGTCTGCTCCAATGGCGGCAAGGGAAGTGGTGGCAGCTCGTCCTGGTATTGCATTGTACGCTCTTTAGACATGACTACACTTGATATACTTAAGTTTTGTATTGAAACGGTTCGTGCAGACTGTACTGGAGGCAAAAGCGAAAATGGTCATGTCTGATTTTAGTGATAAAGGCGATGAGAAAACAGGCCGGACCCGCAATGAATATACTGAAGTTTGTACGAAAAAAAAATACCCGTGGGTTTCATGACGCGATTACACGTTTGCACGATAAAACGAACCTGACGTGATGCGAAACCCAACTTCAAGTTTTTTTTGCCTTGTCACACATGAAAATCACAGTATAAATTAAAGACGATGAAGTATAGGAAGTACTGTAAAATCAAGGAGCATAAGCCCTCTCGATATAAATTACACACCGTAAAGAGTGATATATCGTCGAAATAGGGGTCGAGATAAGAGTTTTAGTGAGCTGATGTCAGTTCCAGCAAGATACATCTAGTAGTGGTCGAATAACGTTGTGTTCCTTTTCCTTACTAACAGCTAACAGACTATGCGAGTACGGAGAGAATGTACCTGTAACTCTTGACTCCTACAAGATCTTTGCCACGACAGCAGGCAAATATTTAGCCCATTTTCAAGAGCTTTTTCTTTGATTGTCCACTGTATGAATAGCTGAAAGGACGACAGGAATAACTGGTGCCACAAGACATGGCGAAAACCTGTCATTAAGTTTGCAACGCTTTGTATTGATTCGTTGTCGCTTCTAGCATGATGTGGTTGGTGTCTTTATAGCACGGTTCTGTTTCTGCTCAAGCTTTAAACGCTTTCCTTGAAGCACCGACAGATCGCCGGCTTGACGCATCTAGTGGTTTTAGCATATCTGGATTCATTTCTCTGATGTGCAGCAGCCCGTTGGCGACTCGTTGTAATACCAATTTTGCACACAGAAGGAATCTACGGGTAAGCTGCCTTCAAATATCTTTAGGTCCTGTTGTACGTCAAGTTGCTTGGCTTAAGACCAAAAAAGGCACGTGAAACTGATTGCTAAAGTCGTGATTGAAGCAGACAGGAACCATAATCTACCGGAACGCGATGTATATTTCCTTTTATCATCATCATTGGCGACTTTACATCAAAAATGAGCCGGCTTCACCCCTGATTAGCCAAGCGAATATCGAAAAGGCAATGGATTAAGCTTCAATTGCATTAAACATGAAGTCATTTACGTCGTCGGCTAGATCTCGTGCGCTACGTAAGCTTGCAATGCGTCGGTCTTGCGGTATAGGCTTTATGTTACTTGATAATGGCGGATGAAATCTAACATTGTCACTGTCACATCATCAACGCGTTACTGGTCTGCGGTTCTCACGGACAGCTATATTCCCTACAGCGACTATCTTACGTATGATTGCTTTGCCTGGGTTTCATCAATTGTTTTGGAATGTTCAGTGCGTCCACTTCTTCGTGGTCCACGTCTTTGACGGCGACAATGCTTTGTCCATAAAGTAGCAAACGCCGAGCTTCCAGTTGTCAATGGAGACGCGACTAGCTCGAGCTTGCAAGCCACTTGTGCCGGACAAAAGAAGCAGCATGTGTGCTGTCTTCACTTAAGACCATTTTAAATGCGACAATAGAAAGAGAAAATCTAACGCTGGTTGATAGACGGAAGGTTCAACAAAAGAGAGACCACGTTTGCTGGTTTAGATCATTGAGACTTGTTTCATATTGTTACCAGTGTGCTCTATTTAATGGTCTGATGTCGAAAGTTGTACTGACAGACTGCACCAGGTTGACCCTAACGTTGCGTTTCATTTCTCATGTGAAGACACCAAGGCTACTTCTAGCTTTGCGCGTTTTCTATCGTTCCTGAAAACAGCAGACGTAAGTCGTGCCTGCACTTCAAAACGCTATTATCGTATGGTATATAGATAATAGATGTTCATATAAATTTGGAGACGATTGCAAAATGTAAGTGAAACAGGTCTTTCCATTTGTACTCTTAACCAAAAGTCGCTCGCCGCTATTCGCAGATTTCTGCTTGTACCGCAATAGCAATTATTGTATGCCTTTTAAGATTTAGAGTCACGTTACTTTAGCAAGATCGATATCAATTTGTTTTAATAAATATCAATTTGTACGTAGAGGAAAACTACAAGTAATAGGCATATGCTATGCTTAATCGCAACAACTCATACTTACCTGACTGGTGCTTGACGCTGCTCATCGAGGGCGTTGACATGAGCCGGAGCAGGCCCCTTGCACTCCGGTGCTGTAAGGGTTCAGGAATGCTCTTATGAGTAATTCCACAGTAGAATTTTTGATAGCGGGGGTGAGCGCGTGCGCCGCCCCCACCTTTTACGACGTATAACTGAGCACTTCATACATTTTTCTTGTGTTGCCTGTGCGACAACGGCAAGGTGGTTCTTGCACTGACTGCGCGATCCCACGATCGGGTTCAGCTACTGCCTCGGCCAAGCTCTCGATTAGGCGAGCTGACGGAGATACGACGTAATTTTTCTCCAGACATCGTCAAGATTCCTCTTAACTAACGTCAATATCGTTCTTGTCTTAGTGCGCCCGCAGACAGAAGTTCCAATCTACAACCGCTTGCTTCACCTCATACAACGGCGCAGTCGTGTATACAGCCGACACTCTAGTAAACGGGTAGCGGGCATTCTACTGCGATGAATTTTGAAAGGCTCTACTCCTTTTCACCACTATACGCTTTGGGTATATACATCGGCTCTAGCACTTGTGAACCATGCTTGAATAGAAGAACACGGCACGTTATAAGGAAGCAAGCCGGCGATCTTCGTCGACCATGTTGTCATCCACAAGGCAATTAACTAAAAGCTGGAGACGAGGGCAGGCAGTAACTGAGCTCTCACAGGCACACATAAAAGATGCTCGAAAGGGAATCGGCGTAGTCAGACCGTCCCTTGTCATAGCTGCAGCTATATCGGTTGCATACCACAGCACCACAACTTCTTCAAGGAGGTAAACAGTACGTGAGCTTTGTTTTATGCTATTCAAACAGCAAAAAGTACGCATCATCTAGCAAGTAGGACGAGCCATTTGATATGGTGTTGAAGCAGTCTGAACGGTATCTCGGAAGAAGTGGCGGTGCGCCTTTGATCGGACATCACAAAGCGTCAGACATAATGGTTATTTTGAATTCTTATGTATTCAAATGATACAGCTTTTTTTTGATGCACCATCTAAACAAAGCAGACAATTTGTGACTTCCAAGATCTCTAAGTAATTCCTATCCCGTGCAGAAGATGTCATCCTCTGATCAAGCGACTCCACGAAAGCCCAGTGAGACTGTAATGGCGCCAGCATATTAAGATTAAGAACATCGTAGGAATTAAGCTTGTTGAATTAGCTGAAACCCTTTATCTACGGACTTTAAAGTAGCAGGGCAAGACAATCTCACTTTGAATCCAATTTGTCAAAGCAGCAGAAATCAGCATGGCTTCGGAACCTTACAGTATCACAAACAGGAATGACCGTACACATAACAAAGAATGGAAGCATTGTTTCTCTAGTAAGCTCAATATATATAACTTGCACGCAAACTTTGCTAGCGATTTGCAGTGAAAGATATCGATTACATCCACGTGCCCAGATAAATACAATTATGCTCCATGCGCATGTGTCCAAATTCCAACCAATGTGTGCCCATTATTTATTACGTTACTTAGGTCGGATGATAAAGTAGAACGTTTGTAGGTTTTGCACTTAAATACGGTTGGACGAGGAATGAGATTTATATTGGTGGTAATCAGACTGGTTGGATGCGTCGCCGATCCTCAAACTCTAATCACAACTTGACTTGTGTCTTGTATCAACTCGTCTGTGCAACAGCTCATTTCAGATTCGTTTGCGTACGCTCACATTGCTTCCATCTATCTTACCTTTCTCAAAATGATGTCTTTGATCCGCACAACCAAGCTGCGCACTCTGGTGACTGCGGTGCGCAATGTGCACATTGAGCGCAAGCTAGAAGAGCTAGGCTACACACTCCCTGCCGTGGCTGAGCCAAAGGGTAATTACCGCACGTCGGTGCGTTCGGGTAACACCATCTACTTGGCTGGACACTTGCCGCAGCCTGCAGGTGGCGACCTTATTCTGGGCAAGATCGGCAAGGACTTGACACCAGAGCAAGGCTACGACGCTGCGCATTACGTGGCGCTTAGTCTACTGGCCACTCTCAAGCGTGCGTTCCATATTGGTGACTAATTAATGCCATGAAGAAGCTTAGCTCTAACATTGTATACTGTTTATATAGAGGAGGTGGGTGACCTGGACAAGATCAAGCGCGTGGTAAAGCTCGTGGGCTTTGTCAACTGCGTGGATGGATTTTCACAGCAACCATCCGTTATTAACGGCGCATCGGACACCATCGGCAAGGTATTCGGTGACAAGGGCATTCACGCCCGCTCTGCTGTGGGCACCAACGCTCTTCCGTTGAACGTGTGCGTTGAGATTGAAGCCATTGTTGAGGTTGAGGAGTAAGGTGCACTTGCGTGAGCGTGTTGCTTTGTCCTCATTCTTGCCAATTAGCGTGATTGACTTGTACGTACAACTCATTGCCGCTGTTACCTTCTCACACTTATGTAAATGGGAAATACAAAACTATTGTACTTGCTCTTTTGACTCATGAAAAGTGACGGGCTTGAAGACTTGTTGTCTTCCAGTATTGACGCTTGACAAGAATTTCTCTTGCTTGATAACTTAGATTACAAACTGCTTGCATCATTTTATATTTGATACCGTTACTTCACACTATCTAATGTGTAGCAAAGTCTGCTTTACCAAAGCAAGCAACGTATACAAAAGATAGTGAACAATGTGCGTTGTGTAACATTAACATTTATGTTAATTGCGAATAACATTGCCGTTTTTGTCTCGCATTTACGTTTAGATTGACGGCTTTGACACTAAAGGAAGTGACCACTCCAGTTATCCTTAATTTGTGTAAATGACACCAAGTGACGCAACGCTGTATGTGAAATAAATCAATTAAAGCCTCCTCAATGATTAAGGGACAAACTTAAAATACGACGCCATATCTACTTTCACCTTTATTTTACGGTGCGGCTCAGCGTATTTCTCAACAAGAGAAAATGGCCCAAGTAACAGTGGCGCTGAGTCCGATCCTAAAGAAGCTCGTACCGCTTTGCTTTGTAATTGGCGCGGGTATGGAGGCTTTTATGGTCAAGACGGGCTTCTGTACGTCCTTTCAATCATCTAAAGAAACAGCAAGGGAGACTAAATGTGCTGTTTGTTGCATTGTAGATGACATCGTCACCGTGAACGAGGCCGAACGCCGCCAGCTGCGAGATGAAGAGCGTCAAAAATACTTGAAAGCAAAAGCTCGTGGCCAATGAGTGGCGTACGTATGATAGAGACTCAAATACGTCACTGTTTCTGTTTTGTATGCGCTGGAACTATTGACTTGTCTCCCTCTTGCTTGTTCGTATACAATTCGTCTTTTGAACGCCCCCAGCCGCACACTACGCTTGCTTGACTTCGTATTTGCTTGTTCTCTGTTGTGACAATAACTTCAGGTTGGTATTTTGTCAAGCTTTGTGCAAAACGCGCTGTAGTACCAACTCCATCTTAGGGACACGGTAACCACCACGCTCTTTGGGGCGATTCAATGCATATCGCGTCGTGATTTTGGTAGTTTTTGAGCTGTTTTGCATGCGCAAAATTTCCGCCACCTGCACAGCCGTCGTGATAGCCGCCTCAGATGCCTGCAGTCGAACAATCTCCTGCTTCTGTACCGCAAACTTTGAGTTGATAATGTTGGCATAGAATACTGGGGCATGCAAAAGATTCTTCATTTAGCACACATGTTCAAAGAGAAGCAGGCAAAACGGCAATCAAAGACGGTAGAAGGTGTGTATAGCTTACCTGCCGGTTTTCGTGTCGAAACTGTGACTAAGTCGTCTGTGTATCGAGCAAGACGGGGTCCGGCAAACACCTTGTCTAGAGGCTGGAGATCCAGCTCCTCGATCAATTGGTCAAATACTTCCTTAGCTGCTGGCCACCCGGGAACTTGAACCACACCACTTTGTGGCTCCGCTACAGCCTTTGTCCACGGTACGGAGCCGACGATCACCACATGTTCAACGTCCTTGGCCGTTTCCGCCAACATGACGGCATCAGATCCTACAGCAACTTTTACTTTGAGCTCATCGTATAGCTCTTTTTTTCGTGTCACAATTTGTGCTGAGTTGTCCTCGTCCACAAAAACAAGCCTGTCAAAGACACCGACAAAGTGATGATCCAGCCACTCACGTGTTTGCTTCTCCACAAATCGTGGACGGTCTGTAATAGCCAACAACAAAAAGAACTTGCGAAGATCCTTGAGCACCTCAACAGCGCCTTCTACCGCCGACAACTCTGTTTCAAACTGCTTGGACTTATAAAACGCCTGTGTCTTGCTCTCGACGTCGTCACTGCCCCAAATACTCTTCCAACTGGAAGATGCCACCTCATCGATATAAATCTTCACCATAATAATCCATCAGTCCATATAAATTAGTCTTTGCCGTCTATTTCATAGAGAAAACTAAAAAACAAACAAAAGATCGCGAGCAAGTGATTTTTCTCAATAAAGTCTCTCGCTCTCTCGCTCTCACCTTCGTTCCGTACTCAATTTCATGCCACACTGCAGCACACTCTACCAAGTTAGTAATTGTATGGTCCACATCTACAATTAACGCCATGCGATCATTCCCTGCTCGTCCGTAGTGCGCCATGTGCTTGGCTGATCCTTTTCTTATGACTTACTTGACTTTAGATACGATTAACAAGAAAGAAATAGTCGCACTTTGAAGTTGGTTTTGTCAATTGAAACAAAAGGTCTGACTATATACCGGAGGTAGTCCTGTGATACCGGTATTACCTGCCCTTTGGTGGATACGTCGTGTAAATGACATCATTGATCTCTCATTTTTTCCGTGCTTTAAGCTCATTAAAACAATTAATCGCTATAAGAATCATAAGAAAAGAAGAAGAATGCTAAATGTAAGTGCGCTTATTACGGGCCACGAGACAGTCGGGGATCATACGGAATTTATTGTTGAGGTGCGTGACGCTTTTTTATATTGTGATTTGTCTTGTTTTTTGTATTGATTTGACTCCTTTTTGATACTGTCTAGATTTCATGTAATGGCGGTTTGTGGCGCATTTCACGACGATTTAGTGACTTTGATCAGCTACAATCGCGTCTAGTACGGCGTTTTGGTGACCTTATTGAGACGTGTTTACCTGAAAAACAGTGGTTTGGTCGGTATGTGGCTTTTCTGGACGACTCGTGTGGAATTCTGTGATGATAAAGAGGCTTTTTATTGCGAGTTGTTGTGGCGTGATGGCGGCATTTGTCACGTAAATATGTAGATGTGGAGAGAGAGAAAAGTAAGATGAAGCTGGAAGGCTGGATCGGCCTTTCTGTTGATTGGCTGCTTTGTATTGAGCTCCATAGGTCTCCTATTGACGTGTAGCTCATTGGGTCTTTACACTCTTTTTTTCTTGTGTTGAAAAAGAATGAAAGAAGGCTGTTTGACAGTCAATGACTGTAAAAATCACTTGACCTTATCTGATTAAGAAAAAGGAAAGACCTGGAGCTACAGAAACGTTGATAGTGTGTGACCATGCTGCAGTTCCAAAGCGGCTGAGGCAGAGAAAAGGTCTTGACAAGTTGTCAAAGCAGATTCTTGCAAAACTCTCTTTGCTCTGCTTCTCCTGCTGTGCTGCTGGCGTTTTGATTATCATTGATCACAATAACGCGTCCATGTCTCTGAGAATTCCACAATGCTGTCATTTGTCCATGTTGCTGAGAAACGATGTTGTGTGGTGTGAAGAACTGACCTTGTGTATTTTTATAAACTACGTTTGGATGTAGATTTGATCCAAACTTTTTGATTAAGCGTCAAGCAAGTCTGCAAGAGTATCTTGGTTCGTCGAGCATGTTTGGTTGGCAACAGGAGCTAGAATTTACAAGCGATATGTTTTTGATTTGTAGATGGACTACTGCTGGTGCCAGGTATTCTAGATGATGCGTCTTTGCAGCATTTCTTGGAGTTGGAGAAGCACTTGGATCTACACAGTGAGCTAGGTATGGGGGGAATGGGTAGCAACGGACGATCAAGTGGTATGTGGTCCGGCAAAGGTGCACTAAGCGAGAACGACCGTTTGAGCGGCATTGTGGAAAGCGCAGCGCAAGCCTTCATCGACATTAGTGAGGTACCCGAGCCGCTCGAAGCTGAACAAGCTGTGCAGCGCAAGAACGAGATTGTGACGGCGTCGCAAAACCTTTTGAACGAGCAAAAGTTGGGTGAGCAATTTACTGCGCAACTCACGACTCTCCGTCTTCCGCCTGCTCAAAGGAAGCCATCGAACGAGGAGCTGCTCATGCGCCTAGATGGTGGCAACGAGGATGGATTGACATACGAGCAGGAAACTGAGTGTCTTTTGGCCATTTTGAAAGATCTAGAAGCTTCGCTTGGTATGGAAATTACACCGCCATCAGTTGACTTATTTGCCGTCATGACTGTATCGGCGACGCCAGAAACACCTGGCCGTGGATCAAATGGATCTCCGGCAAACGAGAATGGTGCTATCGAGGCTGGATATCTGGACGACCGAGGCAGCATTAGCAATGGATCATTTAGTTGAATTGGAAGCGTTACAGCCACGTCATCCTCTATATCACGAACTATTACTACATCTCTAAAATCAGCGAGAAACAGGACTAATCCTGGTTTCCCGGTCTTTTTACTTACGTTGTACTGATCAGACAAATGCTTCTTGGTATCTTCAATGACTGCGTCTGCTTTTCTCGGCTCGTCGTGCTCGTGACTATTTGTCACAAACTTGCTTGTGGCTCTTGATGCTCAGTAATTCCACAATGTTGTGAACAGACTCCGTATCAGCTTTGGTGTTGAATGTAGCTAAGAGTAAATCCTGAACGACTTCATCAGAGAATGTGATCAAGCTGCAACAATTTGTTGCCATCGTACACTCCGGCTGGTAGCTTGAAGCCCATACGCACAAGTAACGTTTGGCCATACCGATTGCTGCACTTTACAGTCATTACATCCGACAAATTCACATCAGTTCAATTCCAGAGATCCATCACTTTACCCATTCATCCCCAATGTAGGCGCAACGTGACTCCATTTGCCATCTCCTTCGACTGTATATTGGCCTCTTCGCCATCCGAACTGCTACTTGGTTGTCAATTGCAAGTCAAAACTTTGTAAGCATTCGTGAATAACTTCAATCAGCACATGGTGCAGTCCTTGCCGTTGGCTAGATATTCTAGTACTTATTTGCGTCTTACGTTGCCGGAGACACAGCCCCAATGACATTCCAAGTCGCTACCTTCGTGGTCAGTTACAAACAACACTTCCTGCAATGCTTGTCGCGCAATCATCACTTTCGCTTTATCATTCTCATAATTTTCTTGGTACTCCTTGCAGCTCATCAAGAACGCTTACAGCATGAACAAAGTCATCTTTAGCGATCACTTTCGAAAGAAACTCCGTGACTTGGGAGATAGGAAAGTGCGCAAATGCACGAACTAGCAACTTTTTCATGGCCTGGATTTCGTCCTCCGTCGCAATCTCAAAAACGTCTTGCTCCTGCCACTTCGAAAGCTCCACAACTTGTTGGATTAAAAAAGCTAGGCACCCAGCCTCTATCGTCACGGTTTCGCTCTCACATAGTTGCAAGGACATTTCCACTATCACTCCATATGCGCTTCTCGGACGAGAATGCTCGCTCTTTGGGATAGACGACTCACACGTGTAGCTATTTGTGAGAAAAAACAAGATTTGCTCGTCATTAAGGCAGATTTTTGCATCCAAGAGCTCACGCAAAAGCTGCAACGCGTGATGGCCATCATTTGCTGCGCAGTAAGCAGCAACAGCGTCTTCAGATATATCGCTCGGCAAGTCCTTTACAATTTGCATCAACAGCTTGCGAACGCGCTGACCATCTGGAAAGTTATACAGGGTTGTAATCAATGTGTGCAGCAACCGCGGTGTGAGATGAACGCATCCCTCTGTGCTGCCTTCGTCATGCACATTTATTGCCGCCATTGTTTTTTCCACAAGCACAAGAACACGGTCAACATGATCCGGTTCTTGACTAAGCAACAGATAATACTGCAAACATATCGTGTCGGGACTCATAACGCAATCTTCCATGATGTCCAACGCAGCGCGTCCAAGTTCTGCCGCATATTCTTTGACGTTTTCATTATTCACGACACCTGTAATCAAGTCTCGAGGTTGTCGTTTACGCATGAAGTCTCCAACTGCGTTTATATACGCCAGGTCCTCACAATCGAGACTAAGGTTGCTTAATTGGTGCATCAGCGCGCGGAATACAAACAAAGTAGGCTTTACTTTGTTTTCGTCCATTTTACACCACCACGAGTGAAAGCTCTTCTGGTTCCCGCAGTTTGCATACAATCGCAGCATCAGCGCAAACGTCATTGAGTTAGGCAGCATATTCATCTTCTGTAATCCGTCAGTCACTATTTGCTCCGCTAAGTTTTGATCATTCTCCTCTACAGCGCGTCTGAGCACGGCATTTTGTACGCGCGGGTTCAAACGACTACTCGTTTGTGTTCGATGTAGCGATGGAATCGATTTGAACGACCGCCAAAGTATTCCAGACGGAACACTGGTTAGCATCGCAGCAAGACGCTCCCCAGTTACCATTGAAATTGAGACACCATGTTCGACGATAGTGTCGTATAGCATTGCCGCACGCTCGGCTTGCTCACCTTTCAGACAAGCCAACACTGCGGCATCCCACAGCATTGGAAACTTTTCAAGCTTCCGCTTTTCCTGCATTTCAGGTGTCTGCTGCTGGAATAGGTGGTCGAACAGCATGAGCGCATATCGCCATTGATCTTGGCGAATGTATGCAAACATTGCTTCCCCATACACATACAAATTAGGCGTCATTCCATTCACTTTCATTCTTGTGAAAACGCAAAGCATTTCTTTGGATCGATGGAGACGTCCGTAAGCAACAGCAACAAGCGCCTGGATTCGCACATCTGACTCGAATGGGAGATCCTTAAAAAGTGGCTCCTCATCGTGCACAACAGCATATCTTCTTAGCACTTCTTTCCACTGCTTCGCACGACTGGGCACAAGCAAATATGCGTGCGCAACGTCAAGCGTAGGATCGCTTTTGTTACGCTTCATTTCACAAAAAAAATCTTCCGATTGCTCAACTTGGGTGCCACAGGAGCACATCAGTGCTGCATAAGACGTAGCATCAAGCGTCACGCTACGGTCGCGCATTTTCGAGTATACAGCCAAGGCATCATCACCCAGAGACATTTGACCAAAATTCCTTAGTGCAGCATTGTACACTGTCAGCGGAATTTCAATGCCATGTTTTTGCATGTCGTCGAATAAACGCCGAATGTCGTCCGTATATCGATTGGATGGAGCTGCTGCCGGCGGAGGAGCGTTAATATCCACAAACTGCTGCAACAACGTGCGCGCTTTGTGCCATTGGCGCTTTATGGCACACAGATGAACAAGTCGCGAATACAGCTCCTTAGAAATTGGAAAATGTCGAGCTAGCAATTCATCTCGAAAGTACAGTGCTTGTGATAGTGATTCAACATCCAGTGCTGCGTGAAAAAGACCCGTTACAATTTCCTGCTTTACTTCTCGTTCCAGTTCTTGATCATATGCACGCAGAAATGCCTTCACAAGTACCTTCGTAGCTGTGGCTTCCTTGTTATCAATGCAAAGTCGTATCGACGCCACATGCAGCTCCGGAGATGCTTCAAGTCTATATGTCCTCATTTCTTCCAGCAAGTGCTTTGCTTTCATCCATTTCTTTGCCGCATGACACGACACAATTGCATTCTCGTATATATTCAATGATGGTTGCATAATCTCTACTGCTTGGTGCATATAATCAATGATCTCAAGTGCTGTGCGCCATTGACCCAGCTCAGCACACGCTGCTGCTGAATACTCAAGCGTGATAGGTGACGGTGACACACCGGCATCACGTAGACACGTATACACGTCTATAACAAATTCTGGATTCTGCATTGCATCAGCTACCATCACCATAACAGTCGCATCTTGTCCAGGCATGGCTGGATGTACGTATTGTTGCATCCAATCCATGACAATCTCTTTGGCTCGTTCCATTGCAGCACCTGATGTCATGGGAGTAGCAAGAAAGTGCTTGAGTTCTTCATACTCATCATCAGGTACAGAAGGAAAGCTAGAAGATCTAGAAGATGAGCTACGGGTGTGTAACAAATGAGTAGTGAATGGAGAGGAGCGTGGGGACAGAGATATAGAGATATCTGGATGATTACGGAGCGCTAGAGGATGAAAAGCACACACATGTCTACGTAATGCAACACTGGAGAAGATGATATGGTGATTATGGATACTAATTGCACGTCGAGATAGATACAAGAGCCGCTGAGCAACGTGCTGGCTACGTGACAACATGGTCATTCATTCACCAGTCCAGCAAAATCGTTGCTAAAAGTGAGCTTGTGTGGTGCTAATTCGTCTTGTAATTCTTCTTTTTAAAAAAAGGTTGTTAAAAAGGACCAGATAAAAAATAATCGGTAGGTTCTTCATTCGTAAAATTTCGTCATTTTTGGTGTCAAGAAAATGACAACAAGTCGTTCCGAACGGTTCATACTGTCCTTGGCTTTAAGTACTGTACTTACAGTCTGTGGTTATTACTATAGTAAATATCTAATCAATCGTCGATCTCATGGACAAGGAAGGAAGAGGTTACGAGTTGTACCGCGTCAGAAGCTACGAGACTTGCAACTGTGTGACAAGAAGCATTGGGTCGCATTATGTGGTACAGTGTTTAACGTTAGTGGAGACCCTTTCTTTGATGCTACATGTGGTGGTATCTATAGCTCATGGGTTCGGCATGATATTACGTACTTAATACTACAATTGGGACTAGTACCAGACGCCAGGAATGATGCGGAAGCCATTGCTAGTTACTTGGATCAGGAATTGCACTTGAATATGCTACAAGATGAGGAAGACGACGTGAAACGACGTCGTGAACTCATGCAAGAATGGTTTATGCGCTTGTATTCACGGTATGAAGTAGTGGCACAACTCAGTGACCGCTATGTCGGTGCACAATGGGAAACGTTGAGGATGGAGCTGCTACCATCAAATTCGGGTTGGAATTCCGGTAGCAAGTGCCCATTAGGATTTGGAGCGAAAACGATAAGCAAGACCACGTGGTCTCTCAAAACAGCAGATCTGAAGGATCTGAGAACGATACGTTTTCAAGGACGACGTTATGATGTGACGGAGTCGAGGTTATTTCATCCAGATGGTGGAAAGTTTGCACATTTTGTTGGTCATGATGTCACTTATGCTCTAGCGGTGCAATCGATGCAAGTGAAAGATTTGGACGTTGCACCGGAGAGACCGTATACGTTTGAGGAGCAGTTGCTGCTGGAGCGATACAGAAATACGTTTGCACGTGAATTGACACTTTTGGAAATCGACAAAGAGGAGACCAAGGATGGCAACAACATAAGCGTAATCAATTTGCACCATATTATTGAGGATAGCGACGGTATGGCACACGAAGAATGTGTAGAATGTCTGAAGAAGGCGCTTGAAAGTGCAACCGCAGATCAAGTGAACGCGGTGTGTGCTCGTACAATGATGACACCTCTGCAAAAGGCTGTGGAAAAGCATCGTTTGGATCTCGTGGAAGTGTTGGTACGTGCTGGAGCAGACATTCAGGCACGTGCAGCACTTTACGATGACGAAACACCCTTGCAAATGGCGTATCGTTTTCATTTTAACGATATTGCTGCTTATCTCGAAACCGTTGCCGTAGGTGGCAAATAATGTTATTCTGTTGCTTGTTACCGTTGCAATACTTGTTTGCAACAAAGCGCTGGTAGGTTTTTGTTGAACGAAAGTTTTGGTCAATGATAAAAAGATAATGAAGATCAACTGAGTTATGAGGTAGTTGCGAGAGCGCTGGAAAAGGAAAGCATGGATTGACTCGTGTTGCTAGCAGCTTTTTCCTCAGTGCAGGCCTTTATCCTGTAGCATCTGGTGAATGCCCGCAATGTACTCAGGCCCAATCCCACAGCAACCACCGACAACTTGGGCGCCAACATCCACCCACTGCGAGACAAAGTTCACGTATCGTTCCACATCCATATCTGTGCGCATCGTCTGCGGCTCGCAAGACTCAGCGAGCGCCCAATCATCCGGAATCTCCGGAAGCCGATTAGCGTATGCGCCCAAACGAACTTCGCGACTGTACAAACTTGCACGTGTGTTCTCATCATCGTGTAGCTCACGAAGAGCCTTACATATGGCCTCTGGCTGCGAGCAATTGAAGAGAATCGCATACAGCTGCATCTTCGTTTTGCTTTCAGTAAAACGCATCAATTCCTGCACCGCATCACATACTTTTTCCCCACTACGAATCTCTCCTTGGCTATTCAGCGTGAACGATACCATAACTTGAGCATGTTCATCAGTATCTTCACAACAAGTTTGTTCCACTCCTAGCAGCGCCATCTTGGCTTCCTTCATCGACGACAATGTCTCGGCCAAGTAATAATCAACAAAGGGCTTCAAAGCTCTTGCAATCATTGCATATAATCGCACTCCTTCGTCACTTTCCGGCACTTTGTCGGCTCTGTAGCTCTCCAGCAGTGGAGGTAGCGACCCGCAGATCCCTGGTTTTGGTCTTGTCGTGCTGTCAGTCGACGTCATTATCCATTGATCGCAGGCCTCTTGAGCCACTTGACCAGCCACAGTCGTGTACTGAACGATCTCTTTGTCACTGAAGCCCACACCAGGTGTTACACCGTAATTATTACACGTGATGTAGTCAGCACCTGCAGCCAAGAAGGAAGTGTGCACCTTTCGTAGTAATTGATGATGCTGTTCATGCACAATTGCTGTAGCTGACCAAATTTGACGGTCATCTGGTAGTCCACGAGTGAATAATTCCTCGCCCGTACCTCCATCCAATAGCATCACACGCGGGAGTTTTACTGCTTTCATAGCCATGGGAAAATGCTGAGAGGATATTCTGATAACCATGGCGCTTATTGAGATATTTTGACGCTTATTGAGATATATTTTGACGCTTATTGAGATATTTTGATTCATCAAGTTGATATTTATGAGATCAAATTGTGGTTTTTGATAAATGAATGGAAAGATCAATTACGTCAAAGACTTATTATGATTGACTGTGATACTGCTACTTGTAAATCTCCTTACTTTGCAATCTCTTGTGCAATTTGCTGAATGTATTCAGGCGATATGCTACAGCAGCCACCAACAATACTCGCACCATCTTCAATCCAACGCATGGTAAACTTGCTGTAAACCTCCAAATCCACCACAGACTGCAGCGCACCAGCCACAAGAGACTCCTCCATGGCGCCAGCCTTGGACAATGGTGATATGTGGTTAGCATATCCGCCAATTCGAAGATTGTGCTTCTTCAACACGTCCATTAGCTCCGAGTCCTCTTTCAATTGCCGAATCGCCTTTGCAATATCTTCCGGTTGTGAGCAATTGAACAAAATGCCACACAAAAGATTGTGCTTCCCTTCCGGTTCACCAGGCAGCAACTCAATGCGACTCGTACAAAACTCAACCAAACTTCGCACGCTATCGACCACTTCTTCACCACTGCGCAATTGGCCCGTGCTATTTAACGCATACGACACCATCACTGGTTTCTGCAACGTCTGCACCCCTTCAAACGCCATCTTTGCTTCCGCGAGAGACGACATTGTTTCCGCAAGAAACACATCAACCGACGGTAATAAAGCTTCACCAATCAGTAAATACGTGTCCAACCCTTTTTGACGTTCAATAGTACGATCCGAGCGAAAACTATGCATGAGTGGCGGCAACGATCCACAAATCTTGACACCGTCATTTCGATTAAACCTCGCACGAGAGTCAGCTGCCAGTTCACCTGCCGTTTGCGAATATGCTCGAATTTCATCGGGAGTAAATCCTACACCTGGTGTCACATAGTAATTACAAGTTACAATCATTGTTGCACCTGCTTGCAGAAAATCTTCATAAACTTTTGTAATTAAATGATAACGTGATGGTAACATTAATGCACTTGCAGACAACATATTACGATCATTTGGTAACCCACGACGAAATAATTCATGCATATTGCCTCCTGCAAGAATATCCACATCTTTTGACTCCATATTGACGGATACAAATCTCTCTTGTGCGTTCGTATTCAATGCCAATTGATTAATGACAAGAATGTGGTGACAGTTGAGATAGCAGCCATTACGGGCATGTGCGACGTGGCGATAGAAATGAACGGTAAAGTTGAAGTCCTTCAAGTTGATTTCTAAGTCCTTTTGATAGTTTGTCTTGGTTGCTCAATCGTTTTAGCCAATCATCGTGCATGCTATAAGCTGATGCCCGAAATAGTTGGTAATTTATTAATACCATTCGTAAAATAAAATGGCCGACGAGCCGATGGAGACTACGTGGATGGGTGTCGCCTGTGCAGCGGCAGGTGCGGTAATGATCCCGCTATTATTGCATCGTATTTTCTTTCCTAAGAAAGTGGATCATGAGACGTCGGCAGGCAATTGCTCGCTTGATGAATATATAACAAAGGTGTATTATCACTCTTTGAAGCACGATCTCTGATTCGGACTTGATTTTTTGACTGAGTTTTTGTATGGCTGACTGACTGATTCTTGCAATTTTTGTAGCACGGAATGAATGAATTGGATGCAAAATTTCAAGTAGCTGTGGACTTTATTGCTGCAAGAGGCAGCAACAAAATGACAAATGAGCAGGTGAATGAATGACTGGATGACACAAGACACCGTTGGGTCGAGATGCAGCTTCTTGTGACAATCTTTATACACTTGTTTTTGCTCATTGTATGCGTCTTTTTGTGGTAGAAATTGACACTATATGCGTTTTATAAGCAAGCGCACTTTGGTAAGTGCAGTGTGGATAGACCATCTGCAGTGGATATGGTGGGCTCTGCCAAGTGGTATGTGAAGATGCATTGAATGATTGAACAGTGGTTGGATGAATGAACCAGATGAGTAATTTTTGGGTGTAGGGAGAGTTGGAAAGGTTTGGGTGACATGAGTCAAGAGATGGCCAAACAGCAGTATTTTGAGTGGGTGCAGGAGTTGTTTGAAGAGTTTGACGTGCATGGTCCAAAGAGATGGCGCTCATCGTTGGCTTCATCGTCGAAGGCGACCAGTGACTCCATGTCGCTAGATAACGAAATGTTGATGTCTAGAGCTGTTAGTACACCGAAAGTGGACATGTACGTCGTGATGTTGCTTTAATCGATAACAGATGACGAGGCTGAGACGAAATGATATTTGTGTGGTATATTGTTGTATAGGTCGACGGAGGAGTGGAAGGTTAAAGACGATATTTTTTACTGTGCGAGCACGGGAAATTTGGACAAGCTTTTACCTGTTTTGGACAAGGGAGAAGACATCAACGCTCAGGCAAGTTTACTGACGTGGGCTTCAGTGGGATTTCAGTGATTTGTGCTTGGTGAAATGATTGTGTCGTGGGTTAAGTTCATATGATAATAATGTCATGAATAATGTAGGATCTCGACGGGCGAACCATGATGCACTGGGCTGTTGACCGTAACCAGCAATCGGTAGTGGAGGAGCTGCTGCGTCGTGAAGCGTCGCCAAATATTCAGGTATGCATCATGCTGTGGTACTGATTAGGTAAGTTGCAGTAGAAGTATCTAACAAATAATATGTTTGTGCATTCGTGAGCAGGACGGTGACGGTATGACACCTTTGCATTATGCGGCGAGTTGCGAGCATGAAGAGATGGCACAGTTGCTGGTCAGACTGTGTACTTGATAATATTGTTGCTTTCGTAAAGAACTAACATGCCACTGTTTGACTCAGGTAAAGCATGGTGCGCTAGTAGACGTGAAAGACCTGGACGGCGACACCCCGCTCATGACGGCCTGCAATGAAGTGCTTCGATTGATCATGGCTGATGGCTTAACTCGTGACCTTCAGTAAGTGCAGGCGCCGTGCAGACAACGCGTTGTCAGGCTTACATTATAGAAAGCGGATAGGTATGTGAAAAGGCGTTTAGAAGGAAAAGAAAGCATTAGCGTCAAACCGATTACTTCAGTCCTGGAGTGCGTTGGTATTTTTGATAGGCAGTAATTTGAGCTTCGGTGCTTGCGCTAGCATATAGGTTTCATACGTCTTTCATTGAGCGCATCGCCTGTATTGTCTGCGGATACACCTACAGGCTCGATTACAATTTGTTGTGTTGGAAATTGATGAAGTTGGCTAGGTTGCTGGAAAGGTTGATGAGTAGACTGATAATGATGTGTCGGTACCGACTACGGCATTATACTTTGTGTAGATGACGACGGCATTCCTATACTTGGTCCATATCCAAAATTATTCGGCATCATAGGTGCTCCATAATTGGCTCCGTTCATAGATCCTAGAGGCAAAATAAGCAAGATGTGGTTTACAATCATCTGGATCACTTTTGTAGCGTAGAGAAGCATGAATGGAGTGTGCTATGCTTCTGTAGTGACACACACTTGCTGCTCTTAGATTTATATCCATGGATGACTGCCACAAACACGAAGCTGACGTAGGAATGGTATCTACAAACATTTGTTGTACTGTAAGTACTGTTCACATTCATCTGTCGGTCCTATATCTCCCTTATCATACTAAATATACTTAGTCGAAAGGAGTGTCGAGGTTGTCAAGCTTTTCTGCATACTTGATTAGATCGACCTGGTGTTTCACCGGCTCGTTGCGTGGCGAGATCATCGTCAGCTCTTCCATAGCTCGTGCAAACGACACCTCACGTGCCTGCTTGCACGATTGCAGTGCAGACCGGCTTTTGACAATGCCATCATCCGTTGGCACTAGCGTAACACTTAAAGCATAAGTCGCCGATGGAGAATCACTACGAGCGCCTGTGTTTGAGTACGCAAACTTGACGGTATTGCCTACTGCAATCTTTTGACGCGTACCTGTCCGGTCTTCGTTGAGGTTAAACGGGATAATCAGGGGTATCTTTTGCTGCTTGCCTGCCCGGTCAAATTCTGCGACCGAGCTGTTCCATGTACTTTTGCATGAACCATCGGCTTGTATTCGCAAATCATGTGGAATGATAAACCCTAGTGATCCCTGAATATCAATCACTGTGCCGCAGTGGAGCAAATCTAGCTTATTGCCAACTTCAATGGCAGTAATGGTGTTGCGAGGAACACAAGTCTCCACAACCGTCGTATTGATAGCAGATTTCAGTCCTTCAATACTATACTCACTTCCTCGTCGGCCAGTCTTTTTCGGAAGTGTCAAAGGGAATGGCGATGACGCCGCTGGGGCAATGTTTAACGTCATGGAGGACGTGGCATCCTTTGTCACCTGTTGCTGCTTCTTGACAGCATTTCCTTTCACTAGCGGAAGACGAGGAGGAAGCGTGACGATATCACATCCGCACTTTTCCATCTCTTGGTCCAGAAACTCCTGGTACGACGGTACTATTCTAGGAAATTTAAACTCTTGCACAGCGCTTGCAACACTCATCGCAACCATCACAAGACCAGCACCAGTCATCCATAGTTCTAGTCTACCAAGATTCATGACAGCCAGCAGTAACAGTGCCAGCACAAGAAAAACAAAGAGCACTGCACGTAGAACAGGATGAACCACCAAGTTTAAAGCCTTGGACGTCATGTGACGAAGAATTGCATGTATAGCATGTACACTCTTGTACAGAATCCTCGTCGATGCTTCTGCAGTTTGTCTAGACTTGGTCATTGTTTACTCAAGCCAATATTCAAATCTGCTGCTGCCTTTGAAAACCCTCAAATTTGTCTTTGTATATTATTATTAGACAAAAAATCACAATAGAAACACAAAAACCGTGTAAGTGATGAGAAAAAAAAAGAGAGTATGAATCGAAAAAGAAGAAGAAGGATAAACTATTTAAGGTAAAAAGAAGGTGACATACATGTGAGAAACTATTTCTTCCAAAAAGAAACTAGTTGAATTCTTTTCAATGAAAGAAAGTATAGAGATGACAAATGAAAAAAAAACAACAACTAGATGCTTTGTCTTTTATTACGATTCGAGCAATAACAATAGATAGTGGGAAGGCTGTGGTTGGTTGGTTGTCCACATTTTACATCTCACTTGTATTAAGTATTGCATACTTTATACATATAATTGAGCATCACAAGTGCTCCGGCTCTAACAAGATAGAGCTTAAGTTTATAATTTCACGTAAAAGACATTCACGTGCTTCTTGTATGGAAGTTCACCAAAGCTGGACTACTTATGTTCATGATAAATCCATAACGATCCGACACAAGAGTTCAATTATCAGCTTTACTTCCTCTAACCTCATGGCTGTCAGTCCCTGTGACATAATATAATGATTAGCTAGCTACCAAAGATGGTGGATAAGTTTTTTTCTGGTCTGCGAAACGCAAAGCGTCGTTTCAAGTCATTCTAAGCCTGTTTTTTATCTTTCTTCCTGTCTGATCAATGAAGCTTGGGTCAGTATTATTATTTAGCCAGTACAGGACATAAATATGTGCTTTAAATCGTAGCCAGACAGCGGTACTACTGTGTCGCGTATGTTTACTGGTCTGTCTGTACATTGGACGCTTATCGTCTTGTTGTAGAATAGATTTGGATAATAAATATTTGTGGCTGACACACTACGTAGGGATTACCTAACGGCGGTAAAGTTATGACCGGTTAAGTGATTGCCAATTGTCACTACGTTAGCTATAATAAGAAAATAAAGCTGCTGTATGCGACAAGCGTTGTATGGATAGCAAAAAATTGATAAATAAATGACCCCACACGCGGTTTCATGGACATCTGTGTTCGATTAGAGAAGAAAGATAGATATATACATTATGCTACAAGGTTAATTGATAAAGGTTTGTACGGCCAGTTTTACACTGAAATATTCGCTTGTTTACTTGAAAATCAAAGCGTTTTCCAGTAAAATGTGTCAATGGAACGTTCGGCAAGCAAAGTGATTGACCTCATTATTAGTCGACGAAGAGATGATTCATAGCCACAATGTGCAAGACTGACGGCTAGCAGATCTAAGTCGTCTATGTAGATGATGCGGGGATAGTGGAATTTGTAGGTGGTCAAAGGTTTCGTAATAAAACACATGAACACGCAATTGCCAATGTCAAGTGTCACCTGGCGGCAAGTCATTTCTGCAAGTGACTTAGATGTAGAAGCGGTATTGCATGATGTAACAGGCTTTCAAGTGGAGTGTCTGTCATAGAGTCATGTGGTCACGGAATGACTAAAGAATTACGGAATGGACAATATAATGGGTTGATGGTCACTTTACCACGTTTGCCATCAGATCTTACGTCGCAACGTACAGATAGATTGCTGTATGGTAGATTTGATAAAAACAGCATTCTAGTTGAGACAGGAAGGAAGGTAACTCAAGTCAGATGGAAACGACACTCGTGACTATCGCTTGTACATAAATCGATGAGTATACGTCGTCTTGCGGTCTGCTATTATTTAGTTCTACAAGACGACACCTGTTTCGAGAAGTCTTATGGAGACGTTGGATAACAGGGAAATGAAGTTCGACTTTGTAATGTAATAGGAGCAATCGCCTGGTGTGCATAATGAAGGATGGTTTTACCTTGTTGTGAAAAAAAAGAGTAATCCGTCATAAAATAGTAACCAGTCGTCGTTAAATAGTCGAATTTGGGTCATTTCCATCCAAAATAAGCATCTCACAGCTTCCTTTTTTGGCTGTTTTTCCAAGTCGACGTTACATTCAACTGTCATATTTTCTCCTCTAATGTCACTTTTGAACTCGAAATGTCATTTCCATTTTCATCCAAACAACTTCGACTAATTATAATTCGAGCCAATAATGACATTGAGCTATGGAATTGGTCATCAACTCGAAGTTGATGGACTTCCAAAGCGTCCACACGAGACAAAACGTCTTTATTACAGTAACTATGGTCCCTCCTCCTCCTCTCCCATGTTATTCATTGGTTTTTCAGATGCTACATTACGTCGTTACGTGATTGATAAACGTCGAGGTTGTATTCGTTGGGAAGCAGATTATAAGCGATTTTATCACACTTGTTGTCGATTTTTACATCAGTGGGGTGTTTTTGTAACGGCAGTGGATCATCAAGTGAAACTCTATGATCTTCCATTGCGTAATCATGCACATTCTGTGACTAGGGAGGAGTTAAAAGAGACGATACTCTTTGCAGCACATGAAGAGACCAAGAGACTTTGTGTCTTGATCAAATCCAATACCCTAAAGGTCTTTGATTGGACAATTAATCGAATGCTTGAAGTACGAGCACAATATGAACTACAGACGATAATTCTATCCGTTCGACAATTAATTATGCTGAGTGCAAATCACGTGTTTCTGCAAGGAAAGAATCAGTGGGTGATTCTTCATTTAGACAATGGAAAAGTCGTGCATGTGTCGGAGAATGTAAGAAATACAATCAATAATGCTCTTGAAGGAATACATCCAGTTTGTGATGCAATACCATTACCTAGTCGGTCTTTAGCTCGACGACAACAACACGTGATGGAGTTGTTACTATGTGGTAAACGTCGTGGAGTGATGTTATCAATTAATGAAGAAAGTGAATCACTGGATGAAGAAATAGATGGTTATGGAGCTTTTGAGAATGAGGATGATGATGATGATGATGTAGATATGTTGGACGATAGAAGCACAGGGGGTAAAGCACTTGATCTATTGACTTGCCAACTAACTGTAAGGGTGGAGAGAATCATTGAATACAATGCAGCCCCGCGTGATGTGCATTATCATCATCCATTCTTACTGCTAGACCAGGCGGAACAAATTGCAGTGTACAACTTTGGCTCGTTGGAATTGGTCCAGACAATTCCAGTGAAAATGCCTTATGGTATGTGTACTGTCAGCAATGTGGCTTCTGCGACTGTGGGATCGAGTGCAAATCGATTGCAGTTTCGACATGACCAACCTGCGACTTTGTTCACTGTATCTCCGTCCTTTGAGGTTCAAGCTCACCAAATGCTTCCAATTGCGCAGCAAGTTGCTGAGTCTTTGGGAAATCGCCGCTTGGAAGATGCAGTGGCGCTTTGCAAACTTTGCCCGGAGGAGAGTCCACTCAGTGTCGCTGATCAACAGAAATTGTATGCTGACTATGGCTTCAAACTGTTTAAATTGGCGCGGAGGCAGGAAGCGATGAATTATTTGTTCGAAAGTAATATTGATGTTATGGAGGTACTGCTACTTTTTCCACGGAACCTACTTCCTCGCAAGGCCAGCGCTCTACGCAAAGAAAACAGCAACAACAATAAAGAATCAGTTTTCGAGGGCAATGATTTAGTAAAGAGCTTGTTAGCTCTCATCGGGTTCTTACGCCGTAAACGAAACGCTTGTTTACATCAGGATGAAGAATTGTCAGCTTCTGGAACATGTACTCATCGCAGCCCTGGACCTAATGAAGAGCGTGCACTCGAGCTAATTGATACCATGCTAGTCAAATGTCTCGTTGTGGTGTCTGAAAAGGCCGAGTATGCAGAGCGCGCTAAGCATGCACTGCTACAGGTCGTAACTGGACAAAATTGGTGCGAAATTAGCGAAGCTGAGATTTTTCTCCGAGCCCATCGACAGTTTAAGGTGCTACTGGCATTTTACTCTGCTCGCAAGTTGCATCGTAAGGCGCTGGAGCTGCTCGAAGATCTTGAGCGCAGCGCGGCATCCGCTGCTACTCTCTCCGAAAAGAACGAAACAGGTCAAAAAGTGAATGAATCACCTAGTTCGGAGGATCTGCAAACATCGCATGACTATATGGTACTTATTGCACAGTATCTTCGCACATTGGGCAAAAAGCATGCAGAACTGGTTTTTGAATTTTCACGACGCGTCTTGTCCGTCAATCCTACGCTTGGACTCTCAATCTTTACACAGCGCGAAGTACCCAGCTCAAAAACAGATATCGATTCAGCTGCAGTACTTCAGCACCTTAAGAGCTGTACTATCGCGATTTCAAGCACTGACTGGACTCTGTCGGAAAAAGATGTCGACGACATAGCGAAATCCAGTCTGCCATTGATCAGCAGCCAAATGCTGGCAATCGAGTATCTTACACAACTTATCTATGAAGGGACGCGCCAACTGACACCGCGGTTGCATGACGAAGTAGTGTACTTGTTATTGGATTTGATCCAGGCCAAGGCACAGCAGAATCAAAGACTCACTAGTCGTGTGGAAGCACAACGTGATGCGATTGGACTTTTACGTCGCAAGCTGCTACAGTTTCTTGATTTTCCTGGAGCTGTTTATCACCCAGAACGAATGTTAAGTCGTACACCTGTTGAAATGGTGGACGAACGCGCGGCGCTCCTTTCGAAACTCGGACGTCATCATGAAGTACTTCAACTGTATGCTCTGGAATTAGAGGACGCTGCTTTGGCAGAGGCGTATTGCAACCGATGCTACGAATCAATGACGGCTGACTCATCTATCTACTCAACGCTGCTGAAAATTTACTTGCACCCACAATGCCGCACAGGCAGGACAGCATCCGGAATGGCGTCGCCCGCCATCAGCTCCCGACCAAAATCTTCAAGCTCTGACTTGCAGAGTGGGGCTGTAGATGCTGCCATTAATTTGCTGAACCAATACGCTGAGCGGATTGATGTATCTACAGCTCTTGAGCTTTTGCCAGCTAATGTACCTGCTGCACCTTTGGCAACGTTCTTTCGTCGTGTTCTTGAATGCCAGGTCCAGCGTTTTCGCAATGGACAAGTAAAGAGGCAGCTTTCAAAGATGGAGAATTTCAAGGTTCGAGAGCAGCTTTCTATGAAGCGTAAAGGATCCGTCACAGTGTGGTCGTCACAATGCTGCCAGTTTTGTGGCAAAAAGCTTGGAGTTGGCACATTTGTGCGCTTACCGACTGGAACCTTACTGCATTATTCCTGTCAGCCGTTACCGTAGGCGATGTATGTTTACATTGGGGGCAAATCGTATTCTTTAAGCGTCACGAATTGAAGTCAAGACATTTTTTCTAAATGCAAATTAAAAAAATGTAGAGACGATGGAGTTATGAGACGAGCTGTGGCGCAAAGCAAAGCAAGAACGTAAGCAGCAGTTGTTTGGCTCAAATTGTGCGTGTAACGTTGCCTCTTGCTGACTTTGAGCTTTTTTCAATTCCTGACGGCGGCTCATAAGCAAAAGCGGCTTTTCACTTCGCGCGCTGCCCATTTTGCTGTTTTAGTAGCAATGTCTGTTGGTCGGGTCAGAGAACCTTCTTTGCAAGTCGCTCACGCAGTTGTCATAGCGATGAGGGCTACATCTTTGCAAACAACATCAGGTAGTTGTGTCAAAGTTGCTAGTCTTCGTTTGATACGCGCTCGCACACTTTTGCGCGACAATTTAGTGAAGCAAGCAGAGTCGACAGCTGCGGACAAATGGCAGTGTAAGAAGCAACAGAGGCGACGTCAATATCATAGTCACCTGAGCATCGGAAGGCCAGACGTACCATGTGCAATCTGAAATTCCCGCTCAATCATAGACGCACCTACGGCTTGGCGAATCGGCTAACCTGGCTTTCACTCTAATTGCAACTGGAGCATGCAGCCTTGATTGTCTTCTGCTCGGCTCAAGCCCGTCGTGTGAGTTGTGGATCTACGGCAGCCCTAACACAGGGCAGCAGCAATTGACGCGTCGTTACATCGGTAAAAAGTGGACTTAGTTGAGTATTTGCTGCCAGGCTTATAATTGAACTCAAGGTTTGTCTAGCTCCTACCAGGAGCTCCAATATTTTCTTGTTCCTTTTTCTCGAGCAGATCTGGTAACCTGCTCCATAATTCTCCTTATCGTTGCACCCACTCGATTAAAAGACACCGACAATCCAGCGCTGGTATTTGTCATACCACCGAGTACGCCAGTTGTCCAGCGAAGCATCAATGAGCTCGTGCACAAAGTCCTCGCAAGAATTAATATCCAAGTCTGGCTGGAAACGAGCGGCGAGACGCTCGACTGTGCCCTTCGGATCCCCGGCAAAACAGGGAAGGTGCTCGTTGCCATGCAGCATCATCTCCACGAGCAATACAAACCGGTGGCGGTACTTCCGTGCAACAAGAAACGATCGCACGCAAAGAGACCGAAACCGACGAAAGTGGGCAGAACGTGGACCACCCATGAGCTCTACAAAATCGGCCGTGAGTTTAAAAGGTGCCTGCTCGAAGGCCATATTTCCCGGATTGTTTGCCAGGAAAAAGCCAAAATCAATATGAATGATGTGGCCCTCAGCGTCCACCAGAATGTTGCCATTGTGGCGGTCTTTGATCTGAAGTAGGTAACACACGATCGCGTAACCAGCCATGCTGCTAACGAAGTCAGATCGGGCTCGATGAAACTCAGGCGTACTTGGGTCGCCGAAATGTCTCGTAAAAAAGTCCAACAGTGTCGTAAATTCGCGGTCATTGCGTTTCAGTGAGTCAATCGAGATAGTGTCAGAAATTGCCTCTACAAGACCCGAAGTAGCTGAAATCGCGATCACATCGTACGGCCGGATGAAGACAGGTACCTTGAATTCGGCAAATGTTTTTGCAAACTGATGAATAAGCTGTAAGGCCAGCTGTTCTTGGCGAAGATCATCGTCGCTTTTAACAATCACAGGCAGCAACCGCCAGCCAGGAAGCTTTCCATACGGCGATGTTGCTTGAATACGGCGTTCCTTTTCCGCCCAACGCTCCTTAAATATGACACAGGGTGGATCACCTGATGTAACGTGGTGACGTGCTTTAGAGGACGGGTCACTGCTCTCAGCTTTCTCATCTTCCTCAAGTTTTGAGTCACGCTCCGATAGGTCCTGCAACAATCGATCTGTACTGTCGAACCGCGCGAGATGGTGTGGCGAACATGCCGAGCTTTCTGACTTTGGCGACCATGGACCGCTGACACTGCTTACAGCATCAATATCATCAACGTCTGCAGCAACAGGCGCGATATATGGAGGTAGCGTCTGGGCCGAGTGCACTGGCCGAAGTCCCTGTGTACTCGTGTCAACACTTAGATTTTGCTTTGAGGACACATACGAGCTTTTGTAAAATGGCTGGCTTTGGCTTCTCTCCGGCAAATCACGAAAACGATTTGGTGTGTCCTCGTCATACTCATCACCTTCAGTCTTGCTCAACAAAGCCTCAGTCTTTGAATCATCATTCTTCCCACCAGAATTCTTGCCGACAAGTGAGTCAAACAGTCCATGCAGGAGTTCAGTCGGTTGCGCCATTCTGTTCGAAATGTGGTGCGAAAACGATCGCAGCCTAGTTGGGCTGCTAGGCGTGCGCGATTCGCTCCAAAATCCCAGTTTAGCAGCATCCGGGGACATCAATGGTGTACGTCCTGCAGATACGGAAACTGTCGTCGAGTCTTGCGTGGTAGCAGTATCCCACAAACTAAGCGTGAAGCGTCGGCCAGCAAACACGCCGCTGCGGCGTTTCCCCCGAGCTACGAGCTCTTGTTGCGAGCATGGGTAGTCCACGACCTCGGCACACAAAAGAAACGGCACACGCTCCCTCGTTGAAAACGTAAAGCTTTCATCGACATGAATGCGCTTGAGCCGGTGGTATGAATTGCCTACAGGAAGGTACAGTGAGTTACTCGGTAAGTACTGAGCTTCCAGATCTTGTAGCCAAACACGAAGCTGTTATACGTCAAATGCCCATGCATACAAGAGCAGTTAGCATAGAAGCACCTACAGAACACCTACACAAAAAACGTATTATTCCAGCACATTATTGACTTACCATATCGTTGCGACGGTCGTACGCTACAGCGCGCAAATTTGATGACAAATTCACCAAGGACCCCAAAAACGTGGTCTCAAGCTCAAAAGGGTCAATACCAGATGCAACCGGCACGTTGGATACTGCAGTGCTTACCAGCCCTCGCTCTAGATCGTTCTTCTCCTGAAAAGTAGCGTAGTGGTCATCCTGGGATCCCGGCAGCAACGCCTCGACTTCTTGCGCGCTTGCAGACCCTTCTGGCCCGAGATCCGCACGGAACTGCCGATACTCCAAGTTAGCTGGGCTCGGCGGACAAGCAACAGCTATCGCTGACGCTGCGCCACGCTCTGACACGTCTTCAATCAACATCTGCACACGCTGTACATCGTCCTCCGTGGCAAAAGCTGGATTGTGAAGGCAATATGACTGCAAGTACCACAACATTTTGTGTGCAAACACATGCGATCTATCAAAGCAATAGCACACATGAGTATCTATCAACTTGACTTCCTTGCAACAACCCTATAATCGTCACTTACACACTGCATTTCCGCAATAGCATAGCATAGAGCTGTGGTGATCTTGCAAATGCCCCCAGTAGAAGAAAACTGCATAATTGTGGCAAATAAAACTCAAACTCCTGTTCATCACGCTCTGACGCAGTTGCAAGTCGATCCACAGCTCCTTCTTGATGGGCATAAAGTCTCACGATTGCTTGAAATGTTGAATCTTTTTGTTTACGTCGTCCAGCCAATTGTTTACCTAATATTGTCCACTTGGATCTCCATTTAGCACGTGGTGTTTCTCCACCATTAACAACAATAACATCACGTAGTAATTGTTTCTCATCCACTAAACGTCCTCGACTTTTATTCAATTGTAAAATATAACCAAGTTGCAAGAATGTACTGAACATTGCCATTAAACCCAATCCAAGAATGTAACTTTTACCCCAATAAACGTGACGAAAGGTTGAAAAAGTATCCATTTCTTTGCCATTGAGATATAATACTGGCTGTAGTGAACCCAATACAAAAAGATTCACTTCAATAAGTGATACAATAAATACAAAACATCGTGTAGATGGAACGCGTTTATTACGACGACGTATGTAGACGAAGAAATGAAGACGAAAGAGAGAAACAAGTGCCTGGAATGCCAAGGATTGACGGAAATGAAACACTAAGCGTAGATCCTTTTGAACAAGATGAAAGCCACCGGATAATACAAAAGGAATGAATAGATACCAACCTAACACGGATGTCTCAAGAGAGAGTGCAAGAAGGTTAAATAAACCCATGATACTTTACACCTCACACACTCCACACAAATAAACAAATAATAAACCACCTGTGGTCAGAAAAGTAGCCAAATGAGAGTGACTAACTGACTGACTGAGGTAAGAAGACTGAGTTGAGCTATTGAGAGATAATTGGTGTAAAAGGCTGCGTATTTTGAACCAATTAAAATAATAGTAATTGGAGTCAAACACAATCGAGTACAGTAGACGCGGTGGATTATATGACTTACTATGTATGACTTAGAGGCACCTAATTAACATGCTGCTGTCTTTTCAGTATGGACGCGAACGACGGTCAGACCGGTCTCGAAAATCACGGTCACCACCACCACCCCCTCCATATCGACTATGACCACCACCACGACCACTGTCGTATCTATCTCCACCTCCAAAACGTCCACCACCACCACTACCACGACGACCACCGCCACCACTGCCACCTCCGCCATGCCAACCGCCTACAGGAGGTTCAGGCTTCCCGGCAAGCTCCACCTTGATAGTCTTGCCACGAATCTCTGTGCCTGTGCATGAGTAAATATCATATCATCATCCACAATTTGTGATCGATAAGGGTAAAATACAAGTAACCAAGTGAACATTGCAGTACCCCTTACCATTAAAAAACTCTGGTGCCGTCCGCGCCGCATTTGCGTCTTCGAACGTAAGCACGGCATCACCCTTTGGCTGACCATCTGTATCAGTATAAATCTTAATCTTGAAAGGCCACTGGTCCTTGTATCCACGTTTCTGTTTCTCACGTGCAACAATACCAATAGCACCAAACATTTCCTGTAACTCATCAATCGTGGCATCCGATGGTAAATTCGAAATGTAAATGCGTGCCCATGTGGGATCCGCAAGCGCCTCCTTAGCAGGATCCCATGCTCCTGATGCCTTTGGTTGACTCTCTTCCAAATGTTCCAATGATGTACTTGAGTCACCATCACGCCCTTGATTGTAGCTAGACTCGGAGCGACGAGCTGTGTTCCTATCCGAACAATCCCGACCACGGCCTCCATCGCGACGATAGGAGTCTCTTTCACGCGGTTGTTCACGTGAGCGATCTCTGTTTTGATTCCCATTGTATCTTCCAGAAGACGAAATTTCGTAGCGGTTATCGCCGCCTCCACGGCGATCATCCCTGCAATAGCTCATGTCGCCGTCAAATGTGTGGATGTATCTGTGCCAAATACGATTAATGTAGCCATCTAGTTAAAATAGGCGCCGCAACAGATCAAGATTAACGGTGATTGGCTAGCTACGAATTTTGGTAAATAAAAGACACGTCAGTGGTCAAAATATCAACGCACAGGTACAAAAGAACAATTTGTATTGAAAAATATGCCCCCCCGTCTTAGTGCTTCTTTATTTGATTACGCCATTATTTTTATCAGCCAATAGTATCAGCGAGAGATCTGTTTTTTCTGCCACTGGTAATGGTCCATTTATCAAGCCAGACTAACATAATTTCTTATTTCCTGTGAAAAAACGAAACTCTCGTCATTTATTGTTCTTTCGTATTATATCAAGCATAATACTATTAAATTCGTGAGCTGTATTATATTACGTTCAATTTACGTAGCAAGAAAGTTAAGGAACTGCCAAGACCCTAGAGTGAGACATTATTGCCGTCATTATGGATGAAAAGTCGAGGAAACCGGAAGGTACGTGCTGCATGAATTGCTATTTTCATGTTGTCAAAACTTATATATCACAAAAATGCACAGATACGCCTTTTAAGCAACAGAAGCTCAAAGCGTGGCAGCCAATTCTAACACCTAATTGGGTTATTGGTACTTTTGCCGTTGTCGGTCTCATTTTCATTCCCATTGGCGTCTTGCTGCACACCGAGTCGGACAATGTACGATTTGTGTGTACTTATTTCTATTTTTCATATGTTTTTGACAGGATTATCATTATTGACAGGTTGTTGTGTTTTATGATATTAGGTTGTGGAATATTCGATTCAATATGATGGAAATGGTATGGCGTCATCGTCTAATATTGTAAACATTGGCAGTGGTTGTTATTTGAGTGAAGTGAGTGAAGGTGATTCATTTAATGTGGATGAACATGGTTGCAGAATTACATTTAATATTGAGAAAGAGATGAAAGCGCCGGTATATTTGTATTACCAACTGGATAATTTTTACCAGAATCATCGTCGTTACGTCCAGAGTCGTAGTGACGCTCAGCTTCGTGGAGATGCAGTCGCTAGTACAACGGATTGTTCACCGTTAGTGACAACAGGAACGGGTGTTTTTAAATACAATTCTACGGCGGAGACACCAATTGGTGGCAATGAGACGGATTATACGCTCATGCCATGTGGATTGATTGTTAATAGTCTGTTTAATGACATTTATTGGGTCAACAAGTTGGTGACTAATGGTGAGACGTACTACCAGAATGACACGTATCAGGGCAAGACGCTTGTGAACCTTGTGGATCAAACAGGCATTGCCTGGAAATCGGATGTTGAGACAAAATTCAAGAACATAAACTTGGCCGATCTCACAGATGCAGACAACACGATGATGCTTTGGCAGAACCCTCGCTACCGCTATATTATCCCTATGTATGTGGGACAGGAACCTATTGCCAACAAGACGGCATGGACGACGAATGCACGTGCTTATGGGGTCCAGGACGAACACTTTATCGTGTGGATGCGTACAGCTGGACTGCCAAGCTTTCGCAAACTTTATGGTCGTATTGACACAGATTTGGCAGCAGGCACGCAACTCGAGTTTCTTGTCTCTAGCAGTAAGTTTGGCTTACTATTTTGTACGATCTGAGCATGTAATGAGCGGCAGAGCTAACTTGGAAGCTTGTGTGTGTTTGTTCGATCAGATTTTGTGGTAAGCACATTTGAGGGGAAAAAGTCGATTGTGATTTCGACGACATCATGGTTCGGTGGCCGAAATCCGTTCCTTGGCATCGCGTACATCATCGTGGGTGCGCTTTGCATGGTGCTGGCCATTTTGTTTTTTGCCAAACACAAGCTCAGTCCGCGTAAGCTTGGTGATACGCGGTATTTGGTGTGGAAGAATAATCACTAAAGCAATAGGCCAGCAGTGCGCGAAGCGCAGGACTATGAGCCTTGCTAGCAAGATGTCAGCAACTGTAGGAGTTGACCGGACCAAGAAGACCCGACAGCTTGCTGGTCGCCTTACCCTTGTATTTTTTTCTTTTTCTTTCTAGCAGATTTATCATCTCAGCTTTGTTTAGGAGCACGCAAGAATGAAAATGCTGTCGTTTTTGCTGCCCCAATGTTCATATTATGGTGTCTTGTCGATCATATCATAGGATTGCCTCACGGTGAGTCCTTTGAAAAAAACAAGATGCTTGCAACTCGCTGCGAATTGTTGGAGAGGCTATGTGATCTGCATAGTGCGTGTTAAGGTAGGAATCTGCGGTCGGATGAGATTTGAGTCATTAAGCACTTACGGGTTACTGAAATGGCCTGCTCGCTCATTCCAGGATATCAAAATCATGTGTCTGTCAGCTTCAACATGTCACTATACGCCGATTTATTTGACGAAGAAGCTTTGTTATAGTTAACGTCTTTGCTGCTGTAGATTGTGAAGCTGCTAGACGTAGCTTTTCATTCTCAACTTTTGAATAAGACGGCGAAAAGTTGCTATCTGCTTATAAACTGCGTGGCCTCCGTAAAACGTTTGATCCACGTTTCACGGCCCACGCTGGCAGGAGCGCGGAAGCGAAGCATTCGACTGCCCGCTCCGGGTGGAACCAGTTTAATCTTGAGTTCGTCGGTTCGGCTACGTACCACACTGTAGCCATTAACGCTAATAGGTTGCTCAAAAACAGGACCGCGTTCTTCGTACTCACTCTTCGATTTGTAGCATGTAAGCATATCATGGTTCAGTACATAGAAGTATTGGCGCCAGCGCGAAGAGAAAACGTGGCCCTTTTCATAGCGCTCTAGGTAGCCTGATACCACACGACCCTTATCAGCTACCTTGTCCACTGTGTCGATTGTGTGCCTCGTAGCCTCCATTGTGCTCTGGTACAGAGCTTGTTGGTCAGCTAACGCCCTTTTGATGTGCGCCTCGGCACGACGGATCGCATCTTGAAGCGAGCTCAACTGCTTTGTATGGGTGTTTTCAATTTCGGCAACAGCCTTTCGTTCTTGACGCCCCCACTCTGCGTTTGCTTTCTCTATGTGATGCACCTGACGTTCATTGTTCTCCAGCGCCTTTCCTAATTGCTTGATACGGTTTTTCTTCTCCTCACAGGCTGCCGAAAAGCGGCCGTACTCTTGCTGTGTCAAGTGTTGAAGCTGGTTGCGGACGGGACCATGGAGAAATCCCGCGAGCACTGTTGCTGCCTGGGGACCACGCGCTACAAAGTTATACTGAGACACCATTGCCTCCAGATTGTTCTTGTAAGTTAGTAACTCCAGAGGCACTCGCGTCAGAGACACAGGACCCCTTTCACTCTTTTTGCTGACAAGCATAATCGAAGACACAGCACGATCTCGTGATTGCTGCTGCTGCTCCGCATCGGTCTCATTCTTCCGAAGAACCACTGAATGTAGATAACGCAGCAGTTCGCCACAAAATATGGCCGACGAAACTTCGTTCGCGCGATCGAAGCGCCTTCGTATGCGAGCCAATTTCGCCCACAAATTTTTTTTTCCTACGCGGAACTCTAGTGAACACGCAAGTTCAGGACTGGATGGTAGTGGACCTTGCATATCGACAAGGAATGGCTTTAATAAAGCATTCACTTCATCCAAACCATCAGCATGCACTGTATCCAACACGGCATTATTGACGGGCATCGCTTCGCTAGAAATGTTTGAGTACTTCAAAGCTACTGAGTAATGCCCGATACTTGCCGTGCATCGTGTTAACATTTGCTCAGGTGTTTGTACTGCACTTGCCTCTTTCAATAGTTCAGCCTCTGCTGCTTCTGCATCCTCCCGAATATCGCCAAGCCCCCCTACTGCCACGTTGCGACATAGCCTGGCCCTGGCCTCGACTCGAGCTACTCCAACGGTTCGTAGGAAGTCGTGGAAGATGGTTGCTGAATGCACGGCCAGCTCTGTTTTTCAGAAAGCTAAAGAGTCCAGTATTAAGCGGTGTGGATACAACTATACTGCCCCCTTCATCACCATCTTCTTCAACAACCTGGTGCTGTTTCAAATTCCCAAATTCATCAAAAACCGAGTAGCTTTCCTGTCGAGCGTCCACAACAGCAACATGCAAATTATTTGACTCGTTTGCCTTCAGCTTTCGTTCTGTAACATCCACCAGATACTCTGCCGTTATCGGCGCTGGTTCATACACCGCCAGACTTGCATGCATCACGTCGCAGTACGCTTTGAAAGCCTGTTGCACCAGCTCCTGCCAATGCACGGCGACCACATTCATCACCATATGCTGTAACACCAGTGGAGTTTTATTTGGCGATGTCACGGCATGTGCTAGCAATCTGATTAGTCGCATTAGCATTGGTCCGTTCATATATCGTCCAAAGAAGGATTTGCACACCAGTCGATCAGCCACATGAGTCAGCAACTTGGGCGACGTGTACGGGTCCCTTGGTGTCTGAAATGAGCTGGATTTAAGCACCACACAGTCTCTTACTGACACAAAAGAACTTAGTAATAACTGAGCATCAGTTGACCCAGCAACCAATTGTTGCTCAAAGTAGGCCGAAGGTGAGTCACAGCCGTTCATGTCCTTGATCTTAAGGTCTATTGCACCCCATGTAATTCCTGGCGCTAGTTCCTTCAGCAAGAATGCATTCCTTTCTCCATCAACTATCATGTCACATACTTTTAAGTGTGTAAAGTCCTCTAAAAATGGCAGCGTTTCTTGAAAACTGGCAGTGGTAATGGCGCCGGCCTTTATCACTACCACGTGTGAGCTCAATATGAAAAGTAACAAGCCCCAAAAAGGCTCATTGACAAGCGAAACATTGCGTAACACGAGAAGCAACATACCCACATCTTTATCAGCTGCAGAAATAGCGGTAATGGGGCTTAGAAAGAGACCGCGGTCGGATTCTGCGGCCAATCCGTCGTCTTGAGCGTTCTCTGGGACGTATAAAACGCCTACAAGCGCCACTTTTCGAGTCAAGAGCTTTGGATCTTGGAAAATGTTTATGCCTTCGTTGTGAAAGTAGATATTGCGGTCATTAGATCTTGAAGAGATCGTGCAGAGCGGTACCAAGTTTGTCCTGGTTAGTGTTAATGTCATAATGGATTGATCAGTCGTAGACTGGACAACATACAAAGTTCAAGATAGTTCTATAAAAGAGTTATGTGGGTACAACTCAATATGTTATCAACTGATGACTTCCAGGTAGCACTTTGCACTGTATCGTTTACTTGAACAAAGAAGCGGTTTTTAATGCCCAGGTCCCACTGAACTCGATCTCCTCAGGGCGAGTGTGTTTCAGTAACGTAGAAAAGATCGATCCGACTAGGCAGCTGATCCCACCAAGTAGGTGAAGGTTGTCCTCCGGATGAGGAACGAAATTCAGTGCGTCGACCAATTGGGAATAGTAACCTTATAATAGGTACAGCTCTGCTGCTAACAATTTGGACCGGAAATAATTTACAAGAGGTAGCATAACCTACATGAAAAAGGTTTGCGATGTAATAACTGGCTTAAACATTCAGTGTCTGCTTCAACAAAAAGCCCAGCTTTCAAATCCAGTTCTCTTCACAACAACACTATCAACATACGCAACAAGACAATGATCGGAAAAACCTGTGCTATCTCTTGTTATCTGCATACTTTGTTATACAGAAAAAGCATTATCTTAAACTAAACTGTGGCGTCATTTTGTAATTGGACCAGTCTTGATCACGCTTGACTATTGCAAGAGAGAAACAATGTGGTTTCAACTGACTTCAATAGCATTTTTTGTCTTGTTGACTCTCACGACGGCTGCAGAGAACGCATTGGAAGAAGAAACCGTTCAAGAACGGAGACTTAGAGCAAATGCAAAGATGTGGTGGATTTTTGGTTCTTCCGGTAACAGCAAATGCAAGTCCAAACTCCGTCCATGTCTTTTTATTCATGGAGAGAATCATGAAAACGAGGAGAAGGAACTGCAAGATTCGTCCGATAAATTTGGTGATATGAGTAAGAACGCCCCGTGCTGTTCATCAATCAAATATGCTTCACTGGATACGCTCAATGTCGGTTGGACAGACCACAAGCTGCAAAAGAAGGTCTGCGGTCACGCTCTTTCGATGAGTGAAGACAGTGACGAGAAGCAGAAGATCATTAAGAATACAATTCTTGTGACCCATTCAATGGGTGCTTTGATTCTAGCAGGTGCAATTGCCAATAAACACTGCAGCATTGACAGCAGTACGTCGTGGGTCAGCATGAGTGCACCAATGAAAGGCTCCATGGTATCAAACTATGTGCAAGATGTTTGCACGGATGACGATACCCAGGTTTTCCTTCAGATTTTGACGCTTGTAGGCCAGTGCCCTGTTCAAGCTGGAATGGAGTCTCTTGCGTATATGGACGGTAAATACAGTACTAAGGAGCTCAATAAAGCATACGTGGCTGCCAAGAAAGTCTACACTGCCCAGGTATCGGCTGCTATGTGCAGTAACGGTAATATTGGTATCTTTTCGACGTACCAAGCCAAGTACCTGCTTCTAGGCGCCAAGGTGGATCATGGTTCGGGCGAAAATGATGGTTTTACGACATACAAGAGTTGCCGTGGTGGCATTGACAAGGCTAAGTTTGGCGATGACCCATCGGATCGATTTTACGTGACCCATTGTAACCACGCCGATACTGCATTCCTTAACGGTGACAGCCACTTTAAGGACAGCATGAAACCGGTAAAATGGTTCAAAGGTCTTTTCTAAGTGACTTTGGAAAGAGAAAGAAAGATTGGTAGCATTTGGTGTAAGTAACCACGATGTGAAGACAAACAAATTTGCAATTCAATGACAACCACTACGTGTGTACTTCATTTTGTTTATGTTGAGGCCAAAAAGAAAAAGTAATTTGAAGGCACGTGCATTAAGTTTATCTGCGATTGTACTTGTCATCAGGTACGGTCATGGTTCTTCTTTATGACAATTGGGACTATGACATGATCGGTTCTTGTAGGGTCTACCTCAACTTCGAGGGGGCCTACTGATGAGGACCAGGGTTGACCTTGAGGAATTGGGGTCAACCATGACCACTCCTTTCCATTCCGGTAGTAGTTTTTGACCGCAAATTCCATCCAACGGTCGCTTCCCCTTTGCGGTCCCATTTCTCTCCGGTCCACTGTCCAACGGTAGCTTCTCTTATGTGGTCTCTATTCTCTTCGGTTCACGGGTCCTTGGGCTCTCCAAATTTCTTAAAGCACTTTACCACACTCGCGTGTTGGTCAATTAGCTATGGCCGCAAGCTGCAATAAAGCTCAGTCGTCATTTAATAAGAGTCAAGCTTTGTTGATATCTCTTGGGTCTTTGACCGTTGATTCTGGTATAGAATCGCCAGTTGGAAAGGACTAAGAGGCTTGCAGAGTATCCCCAAGCTAGCCATATGCAGCCCCGTTGCACATCCAGTGAGGTCCTTCGTTTGACTTGTGGGAGTAGTCAGCCGAAACTGCTGCTCCGAAATCTGAGAAAAAATGCGCAATCAGAACTGGAATTTCCGCATTAATTCTGTCCAGCGGGCCGCTAACCCTACGCGGGACCCTAGATGTATGGGAGAAATCCTATCGACATGCACCACGTCCTGCCTCTCTTTTTAAACTGCCTAATAGAGAAAGCTGTCCATCCATAACCTTGATGATGAGTCAAAGATGCGACACGAGGACCGTTCACACACAGCGGCGATGGTGCCCACAAGTGCTGCGAGTCAGCCAGAGGATCAAGCGCCACAGACATAACCAGCGACATCACCCGAGCGGAAAAGGGTGGTGGTTGTAAGGCCAACCACGACAGTGGTAGCGATGACTGGTGCTTTTTCATAAACCGGGGAATATGATGGACGTTGCCACCACTTTGGCCGACAGCATCGTGCGATTGCAGCTCCTTCAAATGCGTACTCGAGCTCCTGCACATATCACACCTAGTGTCAAACGCGAGAACCCAAACTAAGTGCACTAGTGGCATAGCTTCAGCTTCAATTTTAAGAGAGAGCGCAGCAGAAAGCACAACGCTACTTGTCGATCGAAACGTAAAAGTTGCTATTCCTTTATGCTCACTATTCCGTCGAAGTCGTGAGTTACTAGCATATCCGACCAAAAGGTTTCTTGTCATCTATCTAGGTCTCACTTCATTTTTTTTGGTCGACGGAGAAGATGAAGTGGTAGGTGTGTGCAAGTGATGCTGTCCCTTTGGGATCTTTTAACACTGTAATAAGTCAGCAAAGTCGATGCTCCTGTGTAGAAACGAGCATATATCGATGTTGTGCTCAGCTAACGTTGTGCGCCGCGTAGTTACCATCTACCCGCCTACACCAACATCACGCTCAAAATCTGGTACAAAGATGACGGTATTGAGAGCAGCGCTCTTCTAGCATTCGGTATGATACGGTGGTCGCCTTCGTGCTCGCGTATTTGCCAAAATCAAGTCAAAATTTTTTGTTGTGTAGTACTCCTTTTGTGCAATATCGACATGACATTCCAGCCGTCGATCGAGCTCCTCTTCTGCGCGTTGATCCTGTCGACTTTAGGTTGGTCATCAAACTGGTCTCGGCGCAAATTCTGCTTCCAGCTCACTGACGTGGACAACAAACGTTTGTATCAATCTAAAGACGTCCGCGGGTTCGCTTATCGCAAACCAATAAGTTGTTTTGGATTTTGGCGCTTACATCATTATTTCTGTTTACAAGACAGATGCTCTGCCACTGAGTTACACAGGTATTACAAGCATCATTAATCCTGGTCACAGCCTCCCTTCCGCTTCTTCCATGCTGACGACACTACAAAATTAATGCACGATCGAGACTCCGCTTCGTTTGTTTGAAAAAAGGGCGGAATATCAACTGCATTTCGTATTCAAATTGGCAATTGTAGAATCGCTTGCCATTGTAACATCTGCTGAAGAAGCGTTTGTGGTGGAGTGAGTTCTCAAAACTACATAATGAGAGCCCAAACCACTCACTGTGCCGGACTGCCAGCTATCGGGGGGGGGGTACTTTGATGCCGCGTATAGACCTTCTCTCACCTTGTGTACCCGTCGGGTGGCGGATTGCACTCTTCGGAGGAGTTGGTGGAGATGCGATGTCGGCCTTGAGAGAGGTCGACCTTGGGGTGCCTTAAGTGTATATACTTCACTCGGTAGGCGGGTAGGTGGACACTCGGTCGACTAGGTCGAGGGTAGACTTATAACCAAATTCTTCAGGGGAGATTCTCAACCCTGGCCTTTTCCTTGATATCTCAGGGGTGTTAAACGCCTGATCTTTACTTGTTTCCGAACCACTAGGTAAGGAGACCGCTTCCGATAGCGGGTCGATTTGTGGGGTGCTACTCGGACAAACCCACAGGCCAAATATATCCTGGGGCTGTGTTCGCACTTGGGTCTTACCACACGGCTGTCTTCGACGGGGGGGCCAGAAATGTATCCTTACCGAAACAGGTGGGTAGACTTATGTTAGTTCCTTGAGAGCACGATGGAGGCATGCATGTAGATCGCAAATTGAGTGGTATTTAATATAGTCCTATCTTTTTACTCCTTACTCTATCTTTATCCTGAGACCTGATTCTTGATTCTGATTGGCTACGATAGCTGGAACTCTACACCAAATTTGATTGACGAAGAACCAAGATCGACCTCCAAGGACCAAGGCCGAGGGTCTATCGACCAAAGAACGAGGTCTGTCTTGATGATAGACAAAGGCCTACCAAAAATAGACCATGGTTGGCTTCGAAAGACTGAGGTCTACCAACGAAAGACCAAAGTCGGCCTTGAAGGACCGGGGTCCACCTTGAGGAACCGCGGTCCACCAGACTAAACGCGGTCAGCTTCTTTGAATGGTGACCAACTACCGTGCTTTGACCGTGAATTCTTCCCATCGAACAAATGTTCCTCCTCCCCTTTGGCGCACTTTTGATCTGTCCCTTACCCAATGGTCGCTCCTCCTTGGCAATCCCCTTTCTCTTTGGCCCACTGGTCCTCTGGCTTCCCAGTTTTTTTAAGCGCCCACCACATTGTATTTATGATACTGATCTCTTAGAGACGTGGTTGTTGCAACGAGAAGGCAAAATATTGTAAAGATCGCCTTGGGAGACTAAGAACGTTGATACGTAAAGCCTTTAGACCTTGTCTTCCTCTGTACGAAGCTTTTACGGTAGCTCTGCTACACCTGGCAGCACTTGTAGTTGATCTTGCACCTGGGTCTGTAACCACCTCTCTGTGAGAATGGACATCGAAGACATATCCGCCGTTGACCTATCACAGGCAGAACAATAAGGGTTGCAAAAGCTGCTCCCTATACTTGGCCCTAAGGGCGTGGAGTATCTCATCGCCCAAGACGACGAAGAGGTCAACAAGCGTATTTGTATGCTTGATGAATTTAAGAAAGCTCTAGTCGAGCATGTAAAGGCACAGATGCCTTCTTCTGCGCCTTCGCTCATGGCGAAAATGGCGCAAGAAGAGGTCCGCAGACCAAACCCCATACAAATGGAAGTCGATAAGTTCGACGGCAAAGAAGGTGATAACCTTATGCTTTGGTTCCGACAGGTTGAGTCACCAATGTTTATAGCCGACACCACCTATGAACCGTACCGTGTGGGCTTTGCCACGGGCAAGTTAGGTGGCTTAGCCAAACAGTGAGCATTCACATGTGGTGCATCATTGCAAGATGCTTTTCCCACATGGGCCGATCTGAAAGTTCAGATGACCCGGCATTATGCACCGCCAAACCAAGCACACCGTAACCGGTCGCGGTTTTTAGCGTGTCGCCAAGTCAAGCGTGAGCTTGCGGCATATGTACAAGAGCTGAGAACTCTCATCGCTGCCATGGTCATAGACCCTATGCCTAGGCAGTGACCGTAACGGTCTTCATGGAGGGCCTTCAAGTTGACGTTGCCAGAACGGAAGTCTTTCGGGTAAACCCGTCCTCATTCGAGGAAGATGCTGAAGTGGCATGGAATGCCGAGACCAAGTTTAAGGCCGCTAGGCCTGCTGCTTATAACTACTCGTCTGATTGGTCTGTCCCATGGACTGTAGTCAAGTGGAAAATAAAGAAGCTGAGCTTCATGCTGCGGAGCAGCAAAATTGTGCGCAGATGTTATATCATCGTGATCACAGGTCATTTGATGGCAAAATGCCCTTCAAGAGCGGCATGTATACAGCCTCCAAAAGGCCGACGCCCCATGGGTAATCCCTCCGGTTTGTCTCGGGGAAACGGCGGGACCCAATAGGCGCGGGGCGCCCTACTGGGGAAGAACTGAGTGCTGTTGAACCTTTAGGAGGTAAAAGTAAACAGGGCCCACCCCCAAAGAGATCCGAACTCTCAAAAACGGAACGAGAATGCAAGCCAGGCTTGCTAGTCGTCGAAGGGATGGTTAAGGGCTTTGATAAGCCATGGATCATTTTGATCGAATCGGGGGCATCAGACAATTATGTGTTTCGTGCTACCATGGAAGGTAGTAAGCAGTATACTGAAGCGCTTAGAGCGCGTGAAAGTGACAAGTTCACAGTTGCTTAGCGACTGGTACGCGTGTTACGGTACCCAAAGTCCCGATGGACTTAAATATAAAGTTCATGGACTTTAACAGCATGGAACGCTGTTTGGTCTTAGACCTGGATGCGAGGTATGACCTCATTCTATGCATGGCATGGCTAGAAAGTCATGAGCAATTGATTGATTGGAGGTTGAAGACCTTAGGCGCAACGCGCAATGCTACTGGTGGGACTCTGGAGAGTCTTGAACTCGCCTATGCTAAGAAGTAAAAGCGCTTTTGGCGTGGATATTGGATCGAGTCGCTCAATATGCTGGATGTTGGAATATCCGACTTTGTAGACACTGTAAGTGTCGAGGAGAATAGTCCTGGGCGAGGCCCAATGTGTGGTTAAGGATCCACAAGATGACACATATGAAATATGTCATGAGAATGATATTGCATCATTAAACACCGTTAGTGGTGTTGGTGGCTGCAAGCCAAGATGTCAGGACACGATTCCGAGTGACATAAGTGACGAGGTACTGACCCTGGAGGGTCGGGTGAAGTCACAAATGGGTGTTGTCTTTGAGTACAACGAGGTGGAAGCACCGAGTGACGAGGTACTGGCCCAAGAGGGTAGTCAATGATAGCTGTTGTTTGTTTGTTATAACAACGAGTTGCAAGGACTCAATGAGGAGGTGGCCCAATAGAGGGGTTGTAGTCAGTAAACGAAGTGGTCTTTGACCTTGAGGTGTGTACACCTGCGGATGCTGAGAGCATCATGAGTAGCGATAATGATATCGTGAGTGACGGTGATAGCGAACAGCTATATACGCTCGTTAATGGCTTGACAGGGGATGTTGAAGAGCCGGTGACTGTTGCAGCTATACCCGCACTAAGTGCCCTGTTAGAGCTGGACGAGTTGTCCTTTGCCGAGTTTGGCAGTGCTTTACAGGCAGGTGACATCGCCGAAGTGGTCGTTATCCGACATGAGGAGGAGTTGAACTCCTCATCACTTTTGGATAAAGTAGTTCTTGAGGATACCAAGAAGGCGCTGAATGCGCGGAGGGGATCACAGATCCTGAAGGAACCTTCGGATCCTTATTTTCTTTTATTGAAGGAATATGGGGATGTTGTCTCCAGACAACCTCCTACGAGGTTACCTCCGGATAGAGCTGTACGTCATGAAATTGTCTTGGTTCCAGGAACGAAATATTGTGCGACGCGACAGTGGCTGCTGCCACGAGAACCATGTGACGTCATTGACGAGTTCTTTT